GGGAGTGCTGTGTGCTGGCCACTGGCTCATAGATGGATGTTACCTTGGTGCAGTTGCACTCTGCTTTTATTAGCCAGGTGATGTGGACATTGGGCATGGCAAACTGCTTGCTTCCTTGTCTGAGCCAATCCAAAGGGCAAATCAGGTGCTTGCTTCTTATCATGCTGCAGGTTCATGTCACCAGTAACAACTGCCTGCATGCAGTCTAGGTCCAAGCAATTCTTCCAAGCAGCATCTTCTGTGATGTGTGTGCTTAGGAGAGCTCTGCTGTTCTGTTCTCCAGTACGATGTATGAGTGAGGTTAGACACTTGGTGACAATTGGACTTGGCAATTGTCTTGACACACTTGACAACTGGGCAACTAAATTCACTTCTAGCTACCTTACATCGTGTTAGTGAAACTTTGTTTTGATTGGACTCACTTTAAATGGTTGTTTTGTGTGCCCTGCAAATGTACCCTTGCTGTTCAGTTCAGCATTCTGAATAAAATGCTGAAGCTCTCAGTGCATGTGAGTTCTTGGAGGCAGGTTGGCTTCCTGCCCACAGAGGGAACAGAATTTAGAGCCAGGAACTCTTGAGTTAGTCAATTCCTTGTTAGGGGTGTGCACTGTGGCCTTTGGCATAGCAGTGCTGTTCCTTAACTCTGCTTCTCTGCCAGGGAACTGGAGGTAATTATGGTACCTACCATTTGCAGGAGCGTGGACGATTACTTGAGGTGTATGCAGCTTCTTTCCAAATATAAAATGGCACATCAGCTGAGTATTACTTTGTTATATTTATTGAGCGCTGAGCACTTTGGGGTTGTTGGATGAAAGACCTTATATAAATGGCACTTAATTATAATTATTACTAGAGAGGGACTAGTACAAAAGCAGTTTATCTGGGAATCCATGAAACAAAGGTCTAGAGCATACTGCCAACATCTGCTACCACTTAGAACTTCAACCCACTTACAGTGTGAGCTACTCGAGCTTGGAGATGCACACAGAGGAGTTGTTTTGCAATTGCTGAGTTGCAGCCGTCCTTTGGTCAGGCTGCTTGTATGTTAGATAAATTCTCTACACCCTGCCCTGAGGGAAATACTCTGTCCTGGTAGGACCGTGACAGGGATCTCGTGATATTTGTATCACAAGTCTGCTGTAAGCTTTGCTGTTTCCCTCCTCACAGAGCTGAACAGAAACGTGCACTGATGTTTTTCGTTTGTGACCTCAAGTGTCCTCCCTAACACGAGCAGGACTGTGCTGTACAGCACAGCGCAAAGTTTTCCAAGGCAGGTAATGAAGCTTTCTGTTGGCTTGAAGCCCTAACGGCTTCAAACTGTTGGGTTTCAGCAAGTGGAAAAATCCATTAGTGTGTTGCTTGGCTCTGTGTACTCCAGCTGCTTTGCTTCTGGAGTGGTGGGTGTCGCATTAAAGGGGTGTAGCTGATTAACTGTCACGGGCCCGTTTGGATTCAGAGTACTGAACCAGTCGGACATTCACCAAAACTGGGGGTCCGTTCGGACATTCACCAAAACGTAATAACCGCCTGGGGGTCCACTCAGACATTCACCAAAAACGTATTAACCACCTGGGGGTCCGTTCAGACATTCACCAACAATGCATTAACCGTCTGGGGGTCTGGTTAGATTCAGAACACTGAACTATCACGGATAACCACCCTCACCCTAGTTGCATTAATGAGAGCTATCACAATGCAATCAAGTATGGTTTATTACAGCAACAGATAATCAGGTTCTTTTGGATTGCCGGTGATAGTGACTATCTGCAAAAGCAAGCTAGTATGCATGAAATACACAGGGGTTCTAGGTGCGGGTTCTAGGTGCGGGTTCTAGGTGCGGGTTCTAGGTGCGGGTTCTAGGTGCGGGTTCTAGGTGCGGGTTCTAGGTGCGGGTTCTAGGTGCGGGTTCTAGGTGCGGGTTCTAGGTGCGGGTTCTAGGTGCGGGTTCTAGGTGCGGGTTCTAGGTGCGGGTTCTAGGTGCGGGTTCTAGGTTAGGTGCGGGTTCTAGGTGCGGGTTCTAGGTGCGGGTTCTAGGTGCGGGTTCTAGGTGCGGGTTCTAGGTGCGGGTTCTAGGTGCGGGTTCTAGGTGCGGGTTCTAGGTGCGGGTTCTAGGTGCGGGTTCTAGGTGCGGGTTCTAGGTGCGGGTTCTAGGTGCGGGTTCTAGGTGCGGGTTCTAGGTGCGGGTTCTAGGCGGGTTCTAGGTGCGGGTTCTAGGTGCGGGTTCTAGGTGCGGGTTCTAGGTGCGGGTTCTAGGTGCGGGTTCTAGGTGCGGGTTCTAGGTGCGGGTTCTAGGTGCGGGTTCTAGGTGCGGGTTCTAGGTGCGGGTTCTAGGTGCGGGTTCTAGGTGCGGGTTCTAGGTGCGGGTTCTAGTCTAGGTGCGGGTTCTAGGTGCGGGTTCTAGGTGCGGGTTCTAGGTGCGGGTTCTAGAAATAAACGCGTTAAAAGGATCAAAGACTCTATAGAGATTTATAAGCAAATATTCAGATCTCACCCAAAGGCGTCCCAATGTGGGGGGGAAGAGAGGCTCAGCCCGTCGACTGATCCCAGGAGTCAGGAGGTCCTAAGGATGTTGTATGTCCTTGGGATGGTATCTCCCCTGACGATGGTATCTTCCCTAACATCCCCTCTCTCTTGGGCCAATTTATATTATTTTCTATCTTTTAGGTGGAGCTTGAGTGGCTCTAGTCAAGCATATCTTAGTTATGATTGGTGTAAAGTTTTCCCGTCTCCGTTTAAAGTAATAGGCTCCGAGAAATTCAGAGCGCATGCTCAGTGAGGGGTGGTCGCACCTTGGAGGCGGGTAGCTTTTGGGATGGAGGTGTGTTTTGGTATTATAATGATATTATAATGAGCAAAAAGTACACTAGGGTACAGCATTTGTCAAAACATGACAGGTCTTTGGCTTAGGGTGGCAAAAAGTGCAGCTTTGTGCACAAGAACAATCGAGGCCCCGCCTGATTACAGAGCCTAGCCGTGGTGTCTCCACTCCACTCCACGCTCCGTGGTGTTCCTTAGAGCTAGCACACCAAGTTTCCCCAGCGCGATAGCATCTAAGGTTGGGAGCCTAGGGAACGCTCAGATAATGCAGTTATGCCCTACCCTGAAAGCCTCTTCAATGCTGTACCTTTTCCTTAAAAGTGTGAATGTTAGTTTTATTTTCCTAGTTACTTCAGGCATTTACACCACAGTGGGAAGGTAAGCAGGAGCTCACCCCTTGGCCTGAAGAGAAATGGTAACCTTGCACTAACCATCTACTGTGAGGTGTCTGCCCAGCGCCTTCTGAAACCTTCTGCCCCGAAAGTTGGTTGCTTATTACTGTGGCAGCCTCTTTGGGCCCATTTCCTAGCAATTTGACTGATCCTATAATGAGTTCACTGACAGGCTTGCTTGCTTCTAGCTCTTTCTGCAGGGTGGGAGCAGGTAGGGCAAAGGGCTTGGTTTTAATGGTGCTGTTTCTGTGTATATTGTTGGCCAACAAACCATCACCAGCTTGTTTCTGTGAGCAAAGCTGTTGGTCATGAGGAGCAGACTGTAAATGAGTGGTGGAAAGGTTTTGTAAGGTGACTGAACTAAAATATTTTACCCCAGAGAACCATCCAGATTCATCTGCTGTATCTTCCAGCAGCAGTTGTAAAGGTATTTTAATTTTTTGTACACATACTTCAACATTTTAAAAATACTTTTGCATTTATACTTTTTACTCAGGGAAACCTCTTCTTTGGGACTAAGGGAAAAGAGAAGTACTGGTGAGTACTGCTGCTTTTCCTGTGGGACCTTTCTTTTGGCCTTAGCAGCTCAACTACACATGGAAGCAACAAGCACACCCAAAAAGAGAAGCTGTGAATAATTTAAGTACTTGTATTCCTGTTTGTTCTTTCCTGGTCTTATGACATGTATTTCTTTCCACCTGAATATGTGTGGAGGAATGTTTCCTCTAGCAGCTGCCCACCCATGAATGCGTACAAGAAGAGACTTGTGGTTGCTCAGCACGCTTGCATCGGTAATGTTTTGGCTAAGAGTAGTGCCAGTCACAGGAGTGCCCTGTGCTCGGGTTACATCTGTGATTGCTTTTGTACTTGCTTTGTTAGAATACCAGGAAGGAAGATTAGAAGATTACTGCAATAGTTTGTAGTCCATGCTTCAGGATACACATACCATTCTCCATTCCTTGACTGGGCTTTTTGGTGGTAAAAGCTGGTCAGCCTCCCTTCACTCTGTACAAGAGAGCCTTGCAGGGGTAAAGAATGGCAGGGATTAGTTCCCAGTTACTTATGGTGACAGGAGCTGTAATTTCCACTGATAAATCTATGGGTTCTGGTTTTGAACGTGACTCTGGCTTCCCACATGTGCTGGATCATAAGAGCGCATGGCAGGGGAAATATTAATTTAGGCATGGAAGATCAGTCCTTTTGCCAGTGGCTCAGTAGAATGGAACTTAGTATGTGAACTCTTGTTTTTGCAGAAATCTTGCTGCTTTTTAGTGCAGTGGATCCAGATTTCCTTCCAAAGGCAAGTGAGAACGTTGCACGTAATGACCTGTTTATATTTGACTTTGAGAACTGACTACATTTCAAATTGCATTAAGTAGTACTTATCACATCATTTCTGATTCTAAACTGCTTGGTTTCAGTGCTTCATGATCTGCTTTACCTAGTTATTGATGTTTAACAGGATAATTTCCTCTATTAATAAGGAACTCATATTCTTCCCAGTCTTCCTGAAGTTTCCCTTTGGGAGCAATTAAAGCTGGCTTCTGACATTTTAACCTTTTATACTGCCTTCGATACTTTTCTAACCAAAGTCTTAAGTCTTAGAGCCTAGTGGTTTTGAAACTGTAAGGCAGAACCTCCCAGATCGAAAAATTGAAACGTTTTTTTCTACATATTCTCTTTATATTCTCTTTAAATTTTTAGGGCTTGTTAGTTCTGAAGGCCTTACTGAACTATAGCTGCAAAGTTAATTCTTCATAAAATATGATTGCAGGAGAAGGGTCTTGAATACATGTTAGATATGTCAAAAGTTGACAACACTGCAAGGAGTATTGTTGATTTATTATTCCCTGTACTGATTTGAACAGTCACTGATATTGGATATTGCTCAGAAGCTGATGTAAATATTGTCATCTTCAAGCCGTATATATAAAAGTTGCACAGGCTGAAGTTCAGGCTGATCAGATGGCCCTGCAGAGAGCTTTCTGGCATTTAAAATCTAGGCTGTATGGGGAACACACTGCATATGTAGTGTTATGGTGCATATTCTAAAAGGGGAAGTGAGATCAGGACATACCATACACCCCTGTGTTTGGGAAGGTCATAGTTAATCTTATGCTAATGGCGTGTGCTGCTAGGGTAGCCCGTGGTGCTGGGGAGGAATACATCCTGGTACTGCTGTAACTCAGTCTGCACTCCAGTTTTGTAATGCCTGAGAACTCCTAAGCACAGCTGCTGCTGAATTTATTCCTCAAGACCCTTGAGCAGACCTATATTGGGTATTTCCTTTGGAAAGGAGAGAAGGCCTGGTCCTTCTGAATGCTGTGTCCAGTCCTTCTGAATGCTGTGCCCTCTTGGAGCAGGGACTGAGTGAATTCTTTGTCTTCCTTGTAGTAGATCCAGGAAACGTCTTGTTCCTGGTGATAGTCCATCAGGGCTGCTTTGAGGAGATGCTCTGGCTGGCATTCAACTGAAGCCTTGACACTTGCTCCAGAAGTGCTTCTGCCAAATGCTTTGCCACTTACTGCTGCTGAGCACCAACTGTTCGCTCTCTGCAAGGTGGGGAACTGCTGGAAAGTGGATGTGTTTGGTGATTCATAACTCCCATGAATGCATCCCACTAATTCCCAGCCAAAATACTTTCACCCTCACTCACACCAGATACCACCTTTACTCCAGGATCTTTTCCCTCAGTCCTGCGGACTGCAGTGTGTAAATGTGATAAAAGGTTTAGTGCAGAAAGAGGCTCTGGGGGCTCCTCTGAAAAAACAGATGGGTTGACCTGAGGCAAGAAACATCAGTATGTAGTCAGCAGGCATTCCAGTTACCAAAGTAACTTCTGTTTTCATCTGTTACTGCTGCTAGTTGCTATTGCCAACACAGAGGAGATAGCAGGAAAAAACACAGTTACCCCTTGATTTGGCTCTAGGAATATGTTGCAATTCAACAAGAAGCAGGATCAATTTAAGTAGGTGCTTTGAGAAGCTTTCTCAGCTCTCCTAGTTTTCAGTGGGACTGTGCTAATCCTTCATTGGATCTATATTTAATAGAAAGCCAGACATGATATTTCCTCTGGATCTTTAGCTATGTATAGCAGGGATTTGTTATAATAGGGCCTATTTTAAGCACCTTAAAACATGTGCTGACACTAAAGTGGTTTAAGGTTCATATATGTTGATGCCAAAACAGTCATTCATCTGCACTATTAGACACCAGAAAAATCATAGTCAACCAGATTGTGCTGCTTGTGCTGCTGCTGTGAGCGGTTGAAGTCCACGTTTCTCACTGATAGCTCAGGTCTGAGGTAAGTGCCTCCTGAGTCTGCACAACACCAGCCCCCAGAAGTGAGGCTGTATAGCATGCAGTCAACAAATCAGTTACATCTGTTTTCCCAAGGGAAGGGGATGAAGTGGCTGCTGTTTGTGCCACTGAGGTTTGAGGCAGCGGGACGAAGACCCAGGGTGGAAGCAGCACACACGTGGAAAACCACAGACTGGAGACACCAGGCCTGAAGATCCTAATTTGTAGCTGACTCTTTCTTCTGGGCCTGGATCGTGGAGCTGCTTCTTGCCCCAGGGTCAGTGTCAGAACACGGCACCAGTTTGAACCCTAATCTTCCACAGGATGGAAGCTCAGCCTCAGGAAATAGGGAGCATCAGGTCAGGTGTTTGTGTCTCCCCGTAACGATTTGAGCTCACTGTGTAGAGAAAAGGAATGTAATGGTGTCTTTACTGGCACAGCATTTGAAGGACCTGGATGTGAGCATCAGGCAATACTTCAAGCTGTTGTGACCTAATGATATTAGCAGAGCCTGGAAAGGAAGAAATTGTTTTCCTGCTGGTGTGAAGTGGTGGAAAAATGTTGTAGTACCATTAATCATGAAGCTATGGGCCTTGATAGCCACTTCCATCATATAGAGATGAGTGTTCTTTTCATCAGTTCTTTTCTTCTGTTTCTCATCCGTGAAATGGGGATGATTTTGCCTGTTAATTTCCCTAGATGTAATGGAAGGATATTTGTCCTGTTCTTTGAACTTATATTTGGTTATCTAGTGAAATGGACGGACTTTAACTGACCAAATCCCATTAAGCATATCTAGTCCTCAAAGAGATGCCTGGGACTGAATCTGCTAGCTACAATAAGTACTGTTCAAGTGTGAATTGGGCCATTTCAGCTGGGCTGATGATGTTGAAGGCTGTTGGGAGTGATGGGAGCTGGCTCATGCTTTGAGGGGGCAATGCCAGGCAGGAGTTGGTCACCGAGTGACTGATACTGCCGCATCCGCCCTGCTCCCCTCCCTCAGGCTAAAGCTTTTCTTGGAAACTTTAGCTATGCTGGCTCTGGCTGGGCTTCTGGGCAGTTTGTGGAAAACTTAAACATCCTTGTACTTCTGCTCACTTTCAGGTCTTCAATAAAGCACAGCAACGAGCCAAGCCCTGTCAACTTAATCTGGTTAATGTGGCCTTCCAAACAGTGATGGATAAAAAGTTGGCCTCAGCCCCCCAGTTGGTGGTAGTTATTTTCTTTATGGCTATTCCTAGCAGTCTCCAGGGTGTTCAGGTTACAGAAAAGGGGTGACTCAGCTATATCAACATCTGAGCTGCCTTACAACGCTGTCTGTCTCTCAACCATGTGAAGAGCTTGAGCAAACCCGGAGTGGAGCTGTTGCGTGTGGTTAGCTGAGCTGAATCTTGGCCACGGCGGGAGACAGACTCTTCTCCTTTGCTCAATGATGAACCATTGACAAGTTTGGCTGGTGCTAAAGTTTAGCAACCTTTGTTTTAGAAATTCAGAACTAAACAACAGTCTTGAGATGTTTGTTTTGTTTGGGACTGAGATACAGAGAACTTCAGCATGTTCTGACTTTTTCTTGTCCACGAAGTAACATTTTATTTTACAGCTTTGCTCAGCGTTAGCTGGAGTCAGGGCTCAAGAATCTGCCCAAGTTCACACTATCTGTGGCAGAGCTAGAAATAAGCCCCGTGTCTACAGAGACGTGGCCTTCGTGACAGGCAGTTCTTGAGGTGTTTTGTCCCCTCCTGCTGTGTGAACAGAAGGCTGGACTGGAGCGCCTGCCTTGACGGAGTTTTTCCTTTTGCAAGGAATAAAGGAGGATTCACTCCTTCCAGTGGGAGTGAGGATTGCCTCTGTGCTAAAGTCCATGAATTGCAAGTGATGAAGCTGAACACTATGTACAGATCAGAAATGTAGCTTTGCCTGAGAATTAAAGATTTAGGAAGAACTGAGTCATGGCCTTGGCAGTGGCCTGGAACATACAGCAAGTATTTATGTTGGGTGTGGGATGTAATGCTGCTGCTCGCTACCATTGCAGTAAAAGCTTTAAGTCTGTCTAGTGATGATTGCTGGAGACTTCCTGGGAGCAGGAAGCTCAAGAAGGCTGTTAGGCAATGCTGTGGGATTTCTCTAAACCAAATCAGCTTACTAGCCATTGTCTTAAATCTCTAAACCTGCTCTGCTCCCCAAGCTGAATGCACCCGTTGCTCTCAGGCTAAGTCATGCAGTTTAGGCACTTGGATTAGAAAGCAGGAGGCACGCTTTTTTTTTTTTTCTGGGAGATGGAGGTACAAACACATCTAGTACAAACAGTTTTTTCCCTTTACTGTCTGGGTGGGGAGGAATTTTTTAATAGGAATGAAAAAATGAGGTGTAATTCTTTTTCCATGTGGAATCTGAGGGGGTAGAAATCACACCTCCAATAAAAAGAGAAAAGTATATTTTTGGATCTGTTGAGGACACGAAAATCTTCTTGTTTCAGTTTAGCTTCAACAGCTGAGCTTGGAAAAAAAATCTGTAGAAGAAAGAAACATTGTTTTAAATAAAGCCACTTTAGGCTCTTGGAACTTTTCCCTTGAAAAAAGTTGAAATGAAACATCTTGAGAAATTTGAAACTTAAAGCTCATCTGGAATAACCCTTTCCTGTGAATATGTTCATGAGGTCCTGTTTGCTCCCCTGCTTTGGTGATATATTCCTAGACTAATCCTTCAAAGTCTCTTCCCCGCGCTCAAACCAAATGTTATTCAAAGAATGTTTCAATGGAGGGAGTAGAAATGTCAAGGTGTATTTGTATTAGGGAGCACCTAATATCACAGTTTGAATCATACGAATGATGCTGTACTTGAGACTGGAGAGACCAGCATGCTGAAGGCTGAGTGCTTTGGTTTTTTTTCCCCTACTTTCCTAATTTCTGTCTACAAACATATATTGTTGCCATGCTTTGAATGCTGTTGGGAAACAGAACTTGATCACACTTTCCTATCGCTTGCCTTCAGGTAGCCAAGTTACTTAAGACCAGTGTGGGGAGAGATTGCTGGCTGGGACAACTCAGAGCATCTAGAGTAAGCTTCTGCTGTGCCTTGCCCTCAGGGGCAGTTTTTCTCTGTTAATTATTTAAAGAGAGATTCTGTCTGGCTGCGTTTGGTCCCCTAGAACAGCACGATGTGATAATCTCCCCATGAAATCCTGGCTTGCTGAAACAATGAGAATATCCCTGTTGACACCCTGGCTTTTACCTGCAGCCCTACAGTGACTGAGCATGACATTTCTTTTCAATCCAGTTCTTCTGGGGGCTCAGCTTCTTAAAAGGAAAGCCCTAAGGACCATGTCTGGACACTGTGTCTCCTAGGTAATGTAATGGACTGTGATCCTTAAAGGCTGCTACATGCAGGGAAGAACTTTGTCTGGTACAAACAGGACAGCCATGTACAGCTATGGTTAACGTATGCACTCTGCTATTCGGCTGAGACACATCCCTCTTGGTTTTGCTTGCCATCAGCTTCAGCTGCCATCGTGGTCATACAGAGTACAAAGGCAACACCAAGCAGGAGCTATGTTAATTGGTTTATCACTTTTTTTCCTCTAATCTTCCAGTTTTTGCCATCTTCTGTTCCTCTATACCTGTTGTTTTATATGGAACACTTTGAATGGAAACACTCTGAGGTTTTTATCTGCTGTTAGTTGCAGGCACCATAACACTAAGCATGCAGACAGAGCAGGACTGAAAGCTGGTGTTGGGGATGCCAGGACTGGGATTCTGTAAGTTTTAACCAACCAGACTGCCATCATCTGCGTAACTTCCCCTCAGATCACCATTGCTCAAGAGGTAGAAGCAGAATCCAGTGTGAAACTTCTCATGCTACAAGGTTTGCGTGGTCACACTGACTAAAACTTCCTGATGAGTTAATTCCACTGATGTGGAAGGCCTTGTGCATGTCCCAGCTGCTGGAAAGGGAGCAGTGGTTCCGTGCAGCCAGGAAGAGCCATGCTCTGTGTTCTGTGGCTCCCCCGGGGGCTGGTGTCACTGCTGTCTGGGTGCCAGTGGTGGGATATAGATGAGAGCTCTGCAGGTTACTGCTTGGGCACAGGTAGATTAAAGCACCAACTTGCAAAGGCCATGTAAACTCAACTAATCAGGCTTAAAAATGGCAAAGCAAAATTAGTGTGAGCCAATAACAGGAGAAAGCAAGTATTTTCTGTGTTTGAGAATATAAAAGCAGCTCTGCTAGATCAGATTATAGGCTTGCCTGGCTTGGCATTTCAATCCTCACATGGTGCAGGGTTAGAGGTCTGGTGAGAGCATAAGAATAGAGCACATACGTAGCAATACTTCACCCAGATACCCTCGGGGTCTCCAGCAGCTGTGGCTGGGAGGCTTCCTGAGCCAGAAATGGTTTCTTTGTTTATTCTCATTTTTATTTCTGAAAACACTTATCTCTTCCAGCACAGGGAATTGCAAAAGGTCCTGCTGCTACCTGCTTCCACAGCCCAGTGTAGCTGGCCTTCCTGGGTGCAACGTGACTTCTTGGTGCAGGTCGGCTTAGTCTGGCTGCTCTTCTTCCCCGTGGGGCTGTGGTTTGCCTGGCTTGGAGGACAGCCTGTGCTCACAGAGTGAGCAGGATGTGCTCCGCTGCCTTGATGCCAGCACGGGTCTGAAGGGTGGCTATCAGGAAGGAAGAGGGCAGCACTCTCAGCTCTTAAGCTGGTAAGAGAGGAAACCCAGGCTGTGGTTTATCTGTTGAAAATAGTGCTTTCTGCAGAGGCAGACTTGGCTCTTAAGTGAAAAAAGTCAGTTTGCTACTGCTACAAGCTGTGTGTGTGCTGTCTCGTCACGATATTACCTTGAATGCCCTGGTTTCCATGTCCATCAGCTGGAATGGGACCAGTTTTTGCTGTCACTGGGACAGCAACCATGCCCATTGCTTTTACATGTACTTTGCAGTTCAAACCAAATCTGATTTGCACTTGGCATCACAGACTAATGAAGTTGAGCACATGCAGGGACAGTGCCAAGCAATAACCCTTGCCATATCCCAGGACTGCACTAGAAGTCACTCTTGTTCTGTACTGAGGCTGTTCTGGTAGCTATCTGACAGTAAAGAAATATGTCACCACTAAGGATACCACAAAACTTCTTTGTATGATAATGGAGACATTCCTTGTCTGGTTTCCTAGTGAATCACGGAGTGAACACTTACTTGCCAGGCCTCCTACTCAAATGTTTTCTGAGAATATTAGTCTAGGGTCCTGATGCTGTTCTCCAGAAGTCTCCTAGGCAGCCAAGCCAAGACAGCAGAAGGTACTTCATGAGCCAGTCCAAGGTCCTACAGCCTCCAACCTTTTTGCATTATGAAGTTTCCATTGTGGCTTTGCAAGACCAGAGTCCAAACATGAAACTGACTAGTGCAGAAGGTGCAATTCACTTGTTTCAGTGCACCACAGTGGTGTCAGGGGGGTTCAGGTAAAAGCCCCACTCTTCTTCTTTCTAGGAAGTGTGAAGTCTTGCAAGGAGCTTCAGGTATGAATCTCAGAAGCAGTGTTTAGTTCTTTTCCAGTGTAATCACTGGGAAATCTACTCTAATTACTGTTTATCTGCCTCTAAAATACTGTATGTACCTCCTGGAATGAATTCATAGTATCAGTATTTAATATTCTTGGATGGAAGAGGGGATGAAAATGCAAACCTGAATAGGTGGAAAGGGTCAGAGTCTGAATCAGTGCTCGAGGGTGACATACATTTTCTGTGTGGTTCTAATAAGATTAAGGTAAGTACTTTGCAAAATGAGTGGCTTCATCTCTTGTGTTTCCTTTTTTTTTCCCCCAGTGGCTTGATCTGCCATGCTAATAGGAATACTGTTACTTCAAAATTTGATGCCCTCCTTTTCTTCTGGCGCACTGAACAAAATGCTGGAGCCTTAACCACAAGCCTTGCTTTAATTAGGCCTGTTTCGAAGAGCAGACATACACACATGCTGTAAAGAATTATGGACTGTCCCTGCCAAGGATGCCATCAAATGACTGAGTAAAAAGGAACTTTTACAAACAAATAAAACTCGTTACTGGGGGAGGTGTTATTAATGAAAGGCCTGCAAACAAAATGCACTCTGTCTGTCGTTCCCAACCACCACTTTTTTTTTTTGGAGCTCATTTCTTTTTAGTAGACTTCATGGGATAAATACCCTGCACTTCCTCTGAAGAAAGGGACCTGCAGGTTTCGCAATAGCTCCTGTCATGTCTGTCTGTCCACCCTTGCTGTTTTGCACAGATGTAGTGACCTTCAGTCTGCTCTAATGAGCACTAGGGCTGATGAGGTGTGGGAATTCAGGAGTAGGGGAATGGAAAAAGATAACACATCTGGTTTGGGCTAGCTAGGAAACATGTTGATGGAGCTGGAAAATATGACTTGGCACTGAGGATTTTGTTTAGTGACTAGAGGTGAATAGCTGAGAAATGGGAACTGGTTTGTCTTCCTGGCTTTTGGATCCTGCAGTCAGTTTTCCTTTTGTGTTACCTTTGTTTGCCTTGCTGGCTGTTAGGGTTTTGCAGGGCACTGAGCTGACACTGTGAGAGCAGCAGCTCTTTGCTGCTGGGAGGTCACTGCTCCCTGGCAGAGCAGCACTGCTGTGTCCTTCCCATCCAGCTCCTTCAGCAAAGCAATTGTTATTTCTTAGTGTAATATTAGGAGGCTGGTGATACCTGGTCTGCGTGCCCAAGAGTACTTCATATCCTGGACTGGATGTAGCTTTAGGTTCCCTAAATGACCACTTAGGTTTCCTATATGATGGTTTTATTCTCCTCTCTTTTGCTGGCATCCCTTATCTATCCCTTATCTGCTTAGCTTGATTGCTCTCTGAGCTAGAACCTGGTTCTCAAGGGAACAAGATCAGTGACTAAAGCCTGTCCTCCCAGCTCTTTTCATGGCAAAGATGCCACAAAAGAGTGCCTGCTCCTCACGCCTCTTTAATCACTGATCTTTTCCCTAAACCCTTTAAGGAAGCAACTGGCAATGTGAAGAAGAGAACCCACGTCTCTTGAAGGATGAGAGAAGCCCAGCTCTGAGCTGGAGGCTGACTGGGGCTTTCCAGGGCAAACTGGAGTGGTTTGGCAGATGCCTGGGGGCTGGAAGAGGTACCTGAAGGAGAAAGGTTGATCAAGAGAAGTGGGAGGGCAAGGCCAAAGGACTGGGATGGAGGAGGCAGCGTGTGCAGCAGTGGTGCTGGTCTGATGCTGGTCACGAGCTCGAACAGCTGGTAGAAAATGGATGATGCAGGAGCAGCGTTACTGGAGTTGGAAGCAGTCAAAGGCTTGGCTTCTTACACAGCAAATGTTTCTGGGAATCGTGATGGGGGGAAAAAAAAACTCAGCTGGAGCAGGAGTGTGCAGCTGGGAGCTTAGAGACCCTGCCAGTTTCTCCCTCCTTGCTGTCAGTGCAAAGAAAAGCAAGGGAATTCATTTAAAAGGATTTCACATGATGCAATTACATCTTTCCTGAGGTTTGTGAGGCAGATGCCTTGCTGATATGTCTTGCTTTTGCATCCTACGCAGATTGCCCCTGAGGGCTGTATCCTGGTTGCTCTGTCTACGCAATCCAGCCATGACTTTCTCCAGATGAAAACCTCTGCTCTAGAGAAACCAAGGACCTAAGCTGCTGCTCTGAATGAAACAGTGATACTGGACAGCTTAGGTAGGAACCTTAGGTGGGAATAACAGGGAATTCCCCTAAATGAGGGGAAAAAGTGGGAATGAATAGGATTAACTCTGTGCTAGTGCTCACTGCTCCTTTCCTGCTATCTGCATAGCCTGGTAGTGCCCTCACTACTTAGTGCAACATGTACTTTTAGCACTTCTCAGTTTCAGTGACACAGCACATACATGCTGTGCATCTCCTACAAATGCTTGGAAAACCCCCATATTGCATGTCACTCAGCTGGCATTCACAGGAACAGTGTGTTCACCAGCTAGTGCCTTGCAGTATTTAGTCTTCAAGCTTAGGTGGCTGAACACAAAGCAGAGATCAGGTCCCTCTGTTCAGGAGCTGTCTCACTTCAGAAACATGAGCAGACGGCAACATTTTCCATGTTGTACCATTCGAGCTCTTGCATCTGGTGTGGCACGTGCCCAGCAAGGCTGCTGTTAGGCAAGGGGGTTTGTGCTCAAGGATCTGGATGCAGCTGCCTGCAGCAGAAAAGGCTCCAGACCTCCTCTGCCCCTTCCTGGACCCAATAAGGCAACCCTAGAAGTTGGAGTTGTCCTGCCCAGTGTTTGAATGCCCTCCAGTGAAAAGAGGATCTCGAGGGAGGTGTCAGAGCAGCAGTAGCTAAATGCCTTTACCTGCTAGAGCTTCTGACCGGTGCCAGGAGCTGGGGGCGGGTGTCTGTCACAGTGGAAGATGTGTTAGTTACTCGCAGACCTCTGCCCACATTTGGGAATGTTTTCCTTCTTGCTTCGTCTTCAGATGACCCTGGCTTAACTAAAGGGGTTGCTGCCTTCTGTACTGAGCAGGAGGGGAGGATCATAGGCACAGCCTGCATCCTCTGGATGATGAGAAGGATCAGTCCTCCAACAGATGGCTTTCTCCCCTTCCTAGTAGTGTAAGATTATCAGGGCAGCTATGCTTTAGGCCTTCCAAGTTCAACCCATCCCACATTTATTTTGAAAATGTTCTTGTGTTGAATGCTTGTGGTCCTGTTTGTAAAACTGTGCTTTCTGAGATTCTTGCTTGTGATGGTCCTCTGCACTTTCTTTCCCTTGTGGCTTGATGCTCTCTAGCTTGCTTCTGGGTTTGCGTTCACTTTCTCCCCATCTTTCTATGCAACCTACTTGGCACCCTTACATTTGCTTGCATCTCTCCTAATTGTTTGTGTGGCTGATGCCTGAGCAGCACGTATTTCCAAGTGACCTTGGCACAGCAGAGCTGAATATCTGCAGCAGGGTGATTTAGGCTCCTTGTCATTACAGTATTCGGTGCTCCACAGCAAGCTGGACCAGAAAGCAAGCCTTCATTAAAAGCTGTAGAGAAAACACTGCACTTCGATACTTTTCCCCCCCTCAGGTTCAGCCTTTCCACTCTGTTACGATCTGTGTGCCCAGTGTCAGTGGGTGCATTGCAGTGACTCTCAGACAGATGTAGGTTAATGCACAGGAGGTCTGTGGGCTTCCCCTTACACCTCCATCTGGTTCTGCCACCTCGGGTATTGCTTTTCTGGGTGAAACTGATGGATAGATTTACCTGTGTAAGTAAGGATGGCAGAAGGGAGGTATTGTAGGAAATAAATGCATCATTAAAGACAGTGGTAAACGTATCCACAGGGATCCACAGCTTCATGTGGTAGTTGTATCTGTAAAGTGGGGGACAAAATACCAATGGAGAATGTATGGGGTAAGTTTTTCCACAGCTATGATTCTTCAAGAACTACTATTTGAAAACCTTTATATTTAACAAATCAAAACAAAAACAAATTGTTTTTTTTAATTGCATCTAATTGATAGCCCACTTACTTTTGGGAAAAGTCTTACTCTGAAAATATCTATGTTGGTCAAAATAAACACTTTCCACTGGAGTAAAAAGACAGATGTGGAATATTTTGACCCGTTGTAGTCTTCCTCCCAACTTTATGTAGCAATTAGTCTGGAAGTATAAGTTTCTCTAATGATTCAGACTACTAGAAACATCTGCTTTCCCATGGAACATGGGACACTCACTACAGCATTTGAAAATGGAGAGCATGCATCATTCTCGTCTTAGTCACCATAAAACCATCGGCTCCACAGTTTAAGTTGAGGGACTTTAATTACAGTGCGGATATCTTATTCAGCCCAATGCAATGCACTTCTGGTTGTGCTGCGGGGATCCCTTTTCCTTGGCTGGACTGGGGCCAGCTGCCCGTATTTGGAGTGTGTGGCCAAACATCAGATGCATCCGAATAAGCAGAATAATCATTAGCAGACTAAACACATTTCAAATTTGTTTAAAATGTTGACCGAGTTTAATGACTGGGAAATGTCTCTTCTGTGACATTAAGCTACTCTGTGTCCCTGCCAATGCCAGTCTTTCTTGTGGTTAGGTCTAAAAGCTCTGAGTCCCCCTGAACTGTACCAAAATCTTCCTTTAATTGCAGTAACTGCTGGATGGGGGCCAATCTGTCATATGCCTGAGCATCTACAAGCATATTAATAGTTATGTCTTCACAGCAGCCCCTGGGGAGTGAAAGGTTATAGCCATTATCCTCCTCTTTCAGATGGGAAAGCTGGATCGGGAACAGACAATCCTGGTCTGTTTAGCTTGGGGTGATCTGGGGGAAGCTGGTGGCAGATCCAGCTAAAAGCAGAGATCAGTCATTAGTTGAGTTCACTGCACAACCCGTGTTTCTTTAGCAAAATTGGTTGGTGATTGCTGGTGGCCAAGGAGAAAGGGAAACAGAAGTGTTTCAGTTCTCAGCAATGTTCTGGAAGGGAACAAACAGAGCCCGTGTGTGGGTAACTTGTATCCCTTCCTCTTAGTGCACCTGGTAGGTTACACCTACTAATAACCAGTTTTGTGGTTATGATTTTTAAGGCTTTTGTCTGTTTTGGTTCTTAGTCCTGGTCTTACCCCAACATCACACTCTGCTCCTTCTTGATTCCTTTGCATTTGTACTCAAATTTCCAAATCACAAAGGTGGGAGTATCAACACTTACACTGATTTGGAGATGGAGCAGCGAGAGCTGAGACGAACAGCACATGTGCTACATCCATCTAGGGGCTGATCTGACCGTGTCTCGCACTGATATGTCTAGACCATAGGCAGCAAGGGTGGCCAGCCCTTGTAGGGTCTCGTGCAAATGCTCCCACAGCAAGAGGACAGCAGTGCTGCTGTAGATTCTGGCCCAGAGGTGTGCACAGAGGTGTGCCTTTTGGCTAAAGCTCTGCTCGAGGTACAGGGTTACAGGAGTGCAGCCCTCCTGCCTACATATCTGCTCCTTTGCTAATTTGACTGTTTTCTCCCAGGCTGTGGTTTTGGGAGAGTTTACAATGCGTCTGTGATCCATAAAGATTCTCTGGCTCCCTGTTTCTCTGGAGCTAAGGATGTTATTAAATATAGCCTCCCACCAAATACCATTAATAATCACAGACAGGCTTTAGTCACAAACCAACCTCTGTGAGTAATGCAGGCAGAGCTAACACACTTCTTCCCTGGCCTTCCACAGGCAGTGGGAATGCTGAATAAGAGCAGAGCAAACAGCAAGGATGGTTCTTCAGCCAAAAAAAAAGGTGCCTGCAGTCACTAGGTATTGTCCAGTGTTAACATTAAGCTTTCACATGGCCACAGCTGAAACATGTTGAATATACTGAGCACAGATCCTGTGAAGTCCAGGGGTAGAGCTGCTTTTCCATGGGCAGTCAGCTGGTTGGCAAGGCAGGAGCAGAAGTTTCCACCATGAAACTGTCCTTTGAGTTTAACAAGACATTTAAGCACATACCTCCTGGCAGAGGTGAGGCCTTGGGCTTAGGGATGCTGCTTGTATTTAAGGTTAAACATAAGTTTGAGCATCTTGATGAAGCGGTGCTTCGGATGAGAGTTAAAGGACGAATTCCTGAGCAAGCCTTTCCTACCCAGAGATAAAGTTTTCATCCTAGGCTTAAGTTCCTTACAGCTGATCCTTGCCTTCCTCTTCTAAAATCATTTGTGTTGAATAGCAATGTAGCTGGTTGTTTCAACCTGCTCCTGTTATGCGTCTGCCTGCTGCAATTATTTTTGTACAGTCAAAAGTTTAATTTTTCTGTTTGTACCTACATAGTAACCTACATAGTAAAAGACATGTTGACATGGGCGAGATGAGAACTGTTTTTTTGAAATCCTTTGAATGGCAAGAATGAGGATGTAGAATTTGTGGCAGGTTGCTGTGTTTACAAACTGAAGGACTCAAAAGATTTAGCTTTCCAAAGCAACTGCAGTCATTAAAACATCTTTCTAATTGTTTCTGACTTTTCTTAAGAATTAAAGCTTCTTCAGAGCTTTAATTTTGTTCAGGACAGGGCACTCAGAGCTGAAGTTGGATGTGTAATTTGATGTTATGCTTATGAAGTCATGAAGGCATCTGGATGCAGTATGAAAACCCTCAACCAAAAACTTTGATGTTTCTTTCTGATAATCACAGGGCTTACTGCACTAAACCATGTGTTTACTGGATTTGGTTGGAAGACCAGGTAAGAATCAAACTGATATTGTTGAATCTAAATGCTAAGACTAAATAAATCACTTCAGGGATGGTCAACTGTGAATGTTATCTTTTCTCAATGCCTTGTTGGTTCTTAAACAATTAATTCACAACAATCATGCATATCAAACAAATTAGGTAGAGAGCAATCTGTGCAGTGGGAATATGCTTGTATAATACATACGGATTCAAAGCAGCATTGTTGGTATGCTCTTATCCTTATCAGGAAATAAAGAAGTAGTAAACTGTGCATGTAGCCTTGCATTTGCAACATGTGACTCATGTTTAAATTCATCAGCATCAGTCCTGTAGTTACCAAGTGGGGATATGTTTGCAAATTATGTAAAAATTTTTCTTTCTGTTAATTTTTTTTTGCAGAGTTCTTAAAAATAAGTGCTCCCAAGTACCCTTAACTTCTTAATGCCCTCCTTTATCTTATCGTAGTCTTCAGCTTCAGAAGAATTGCAGCCTGAGTGTTTAGTTTAAAAAAAAGAAAAGAAAAAGCATCTCCTGCTTTTATAGACATCAGAATCTTTGGAGAGACACTGAATAGCATGTTTGTCCTGCCTGACTCATTTACTGCTAACTTTCCAGTGCTTTACATCACTTCTAAATAGGAAAACTCAGCTAATGGTAATAAAACCTGGGGCAGCACCTATTATGCATTGTCCCAGGATGGAGAGCTTTACCCTGGTTTTATTGCTGGGTATCTCTATTGCTTCTAAACCTGCAGTTTGCAGAATAATGCAAGATGTGGTGTACCGATGACATCCTTATTTATCTTTCCCCAGTCTTCTGTAAGCTTTTCAATAATATTTGTGTTCTTAATGTCTGATATGTGGTAATGCTGTTACTGGCAGGTGTGATGATACCTGCTCTGATGAGAATAGCTCTAGCAGATCAGTCGGGGGGTCCATCTTGCCCCCCATCACATCTCCAGCAGCAGCCATGGGTGGGTGCTGTAAGGCAGAGCTCAGCATCGCTGTACATGACGTTTTCCTCATGTATTCACCTGGCATTCAACAACTTTCAGTATGATTTCTGTCACTGATAACTGCGCTTTCTGTGCTGTGTTTGTAGGAGAGCACTGTTTTAAGAGAAGCTGTCCATGAAGAAAAAGTGGCATTGTTGGCTGTTTATCTCCATGTATTTTCATATATGCTATTTCATATGTGCTTTCACCACTGTGTCTCTGCCTTAGAAGTTTCTAAAGGTATCACAGACACCCCTAGGAGAGTTTGTTTCCGAGCTGAGCAGAAAAAGTTCATTAAGTTTCTGATTATAGTGTTCCTGAATTCTGCTTTTTCACATAGCAAGGTCACAGCTGTTTAGTCCGTGATTGGAATTACCCCTCTAAGTATTTCCAAGGAAGTCCTTGAAGTGAACTACTTGAAATGATGCAGCATAAAAAGAATGCGATTGCTATAACATTTATCTCTTCCTGTTTCCAAGGCCAAAAGAAGCTGGAAAAGAGGGAATGCAAAGAAGTATACTGGAGTGTGACCCTGGTTGGAAAGTAACTTTGTTCTTTATGTTGGGAAGCTCTCTGCTATCAGCCTGCTTCAGGATGGCTGGCAAAACATCTCATGTTCCCTGCATACACAAGCCCTTCACTGCATTCAGCACAGTGAGAGAGATCCTCAGTGATCAGTAGAAAGGCAGACAGCAATGAAATGGTGTCAGTTTGTGCCAGCTCATCTTTGCATCTACATTTAGGCCATGTTTTCTGTGTTACCCAAGTAGCTCACAGATTTGGAGCGTTTGTGTTTCTTGCACACCAGATGAACTCTGCTGTAACTGCCTTCTGTTGTGCTCTGCAGGGACAAGAGATCTTCAAAGAGAAGAAATGCATCCTTTACTACGAGATAGGAAGCAAACTGGGATGTCTTCCAAAGGATCCGTGCCTGAAACTGAAGCCAGCTGACGACTGGCGGAGAGTTCCGAGTCTCTTGAAATCCCCCTTCAATCCCCACCCCTCGGCTTGGGGGGTTGCTGAACTGTAACAGGTAATGGGGAACAGAGCAAAGAGTCTTCTGGGAACTGCTGCGGGATAATGGCTTGTGTCTGAGCTGAAAACTGGTCGGGGACTGGTGGATCAGCATCCAGCAGCAGCCATGTGGATGGCCTGGAGGAAGCAGCTGAAAGCAAACTTTGTTTACTGTATTGTTTTCAAGGATTGGCTAGGTTGCCTCCTTATCTGTGATTTATGCATCTCTTGAATATGCTGCTCATCTGTCTGCGTGAGGGGACTCACTGCCTTGGGATTAAAGCTGGGAAGTGCTTTTGGAAAAACAGAAGATGTGCTGGATGTGGATAGTGTCTCTGGCCTGGCAGGTTCACACAGTTTTTTTTTCCATTAAGAGGAAAATTGATTATATTATTTGGAGAGAGGTATTCCTTTGAGGGGGAGATCATAATTTACTTACAAAACATGCACGCAATGTCCTGTTGCTATGATCTCAAGAGAAACAAACAAGTTTCCTATTCAGTGAGCTGTGCCCCAAAAGCTCTGTCTTCCTCCTTATGCGGGCATGCCTCCCACTTGAGGCTTTCTCCTTTCCTTAGGTACCCAAAAGACAAGTTGCCTTGCCTTTATCTAGGTCTGTGATTATCTGAGGATCTCAGAATCAGGTGTTACCACCTTCCGGAGCCATTGTGCATTTATAATATCATGGGAGGATGAAGATGGCCCTGGAGTGAAGCATTCCTGCTGACCTTTCTTTCACTTCTGACTCTTTAGACTATGAATAGATCTTTTCACCAGGTGGCAGATTCTTCACCTCTTGTGGACTTCAGAATAAAATCAAAAGGCGGTCAAGGTAGAGGATAATTGGATTAAAAATAGGTTTTGAGATAATGTGATGGTTCCTTGTGGCCTTAGTCTCTGAGCTTATAACTGAAGGACATGCAGTGCCTAGTGTCAAGGTTGTAGTGAGAAGCAGGTAAGTGGAGCTAAGCACCAAACTGAAAGAGAGACTGTGCTATGGCAGGGTGGGATAATCTGGCCCATGTGGGACCACATGTGCTACCCCCAGTGTCTCAGAGCACCATTATTACACGAATAGTGGTCAATGAAATAACTGCGTGAGCTGGACCATGCTCATTCATCTCAGCTCTCTTCTGAGGGCTGATAATGGTGAGAAATTCTGGGCCAGCCACACCTCCCCGGGGATTTCTCGGCTGCTTGTGTAATCCCTGATTTGCTGGACCAGATGATCTCCAGCAGTGTGGGGCCTCCCCTTCCGAGCATAGCTGCTGTTTGCTCTAGGATTTCCCAGCATGTTCAGGCAGCAGTGAGTCTACTGCTTGCCTGGAAGGCTCGGACCTCTTGTGGATGCATGAAGTGGCTGAGTGGCACACCAGCAGCCCTCTGAGAGAGCTGAATTTCACTGCCAATAGTCATTGCACAGGTCTGTTGGATGCTTCCTGAAATTTGGATAATGGAGAAGATCTTAAATGCCTTCTGGACTCAGTCTCTGGGCAGGATAGAAGCACAAATCCAAATATACTCAGTGGGATTTAAAGATATATTAGTTGTAACCTATATCTATTTTGCGGTGTAACCTGGCCCTGCCTGAGCTGCAATAGGAAAAAATTTTCTGTGCAATCCCAGTTGTTAAATTCGTATCTATTTCTGTCAAACCAAGTGGGAAAACCCTTGGGTCCAATTTAATGGGATGAGAGAGAAATGACTCAGTCACCAAGCTTGGAGTCCCAGCTGAGTCTGTTGCCCTGCCCCACTGAATGCAGTATTTGACAAGAAGATTGATTTCTGCTGGTTTACTGGGGATTTTTGTTCCATGTTGCAAAACCACGTCCTGATGGCTTCTGTTCTCCACTGTGCCCTGTCCTATGAGCTATACCTTCAGCCCTCTCAAAGCGTGATGAGGAATGAACAGTTTCTAACCTGGTTATGTGGCCTCTGTCTCCTCATCACCAGGTTTCACGGACTATTTCTGCAAGCATCTTTTCTCTTATGTGTGCCCCACAATGAAGGGGTCAAGACTTTGCATATCACAGCTGCTAAGGATTTAGCAATGTGTTTTTTTCAAAAGCACTTACCCTATGATGAACTCCACTTCTGAAACTAATGGTGAATGATCTTGATTTCTGTGGGTTACGGTTAGAGCAACAATAGGATTTTCATAAAATCCCACAGGTTCAGCCAAGATTTCAGCATTCACCATCCTGAATTCTCTTTAAAGACAAAGAAAATCTCGAGAGCTTAAGTGAACCATTTCCTCCGTTCGTTTCAGCCCACAACATGGGAGGAGAGTGCACTCATGAACTTGCTTTAATATTCAACCTAAGATTATCATGTAAAAGAGAGAACCTGAACAAAAGTTGATGAACTTCCAAATACGTGAACATGTCAACTGAAGTTAAATGAAACTTATCCATGAAGTATCAGGGCTTTTTGTGACTGGTCTCTACCCTAAAGTAGTGATAGTGACATTACTCTTAGGGGAAACAGATTGCTGCTAAAAATTATCACCAGTAACAATCCTAACCCCAAAATCCATGTTATTAGGCTATAGAGTTAAAACCTCACTAAAATGAAATGGCTAGGTTATATTTCTCATGTTTCTTTTATTATTCATGGTTTTTTATTTCCCTCTCATCAGGAGATCAGGGTTTTCAAGTTCTGTGTGTGTTCTGTATATGAGACTCACTCTCATATTCCCTGAGTGGACAGATAACTGGCTTGGGGAATGACAGCCACTGCGTATGATGCTATCTCACCTCCTTTGCTGCTTGCTAGCCCAGAGGACCATTAGGCACATTTGACTGGGCTCAGCTCTTGGAGAAAGACAGAATTTCCATTTCACTGCTCCTGGGGCCTGACCCTTGAGTCCCTACTGGAAAGTGTTTGTCCCTCAAAAAGAAATATTCTAGCTCTTTCCTGCAGCTGATTCAAACAGTTCAGTGTCCTCAGCATCACCTGTCTTGGCAAAACACTGCAGCTTGATTGAAGCCTCCACTGAAGCCAGCTTTTAAGCTCTCCATCTCCTGGAAGTAGCACTGTAAGGACTGCAGCTGTCAGAGCAGGCAGAATAGAGCTGCAGCTCCCTGTCTGCGCGTAGCACGTTTTCCTGGCTCTGTACCTCTGTGTGGTAAAAAGAGATGTTTAGTATCTATGGGAAATACTAAGGATTTCACTGTCGTCTGCTTTGGAGCCTCCTTCAGCTGCAACTGAGGAGATGGGAAGAATTTGGCTGCTGTCCTCTGCTCCTGCACCACCCAGCCCATACTGACAGCTACAGCAACTCAGTGACTACTGTATTTTTCGTGGCCCTTCTGGCAGGGAGAGAGGAGAGGGAATGCAGCTACTTCAATACCCCCTTGTCCCAGGCATGTCTGTCTTTCCCCAACAGCCCCCTTGGTGGTGCATAGCTCTTACAGAAGCTGGCTTCGTATTAAAGAGGGAAAGTAAAACCTATTTATAGACAGCCAGAGCACATTATTCAAGGGTAGGCTGTTGACTCATGCCCATCTGATATCATTTAACGGATTAGATATTGCCAGTGAACAAAAGTAAATGGTGTTACACGCTTCTGGTCAATAGAATTAACTTTTCTTATGCTGGCATTTGCTTGTCCAGCACAACATTAGCTCTCAAGGATTCTGCTATAGGTGTATGCATCGTTGGGAAGGTGCTAATCTGAGTAATCTGAGTTTCTTTGGGATTCTGATGATGTAAACAGAAATGAGTTCAGCAAAACTAGTGGAGAGCCCTCAACTTTGTTGCTTACCTTCAGTCTCTTTTAAAAAAGACGTACAGAATTCAGGGGGAACGAGATAGAAAGGCAGCCCTGTTAACACCAAAGGTTCCTCCTCTTCTACGGTAGAGTCTTAGAAAGGTTCTTCTCTCCTCCTCATCCCAGCCTGTCTCAGGAGGATTGTTTGTTAAATAGAAATTACATTCTGTTTCCTGTCTGTCTTGAGCCATTTGTTCTTGGTGTCAATTTTCAAGCCCTGAATCACTGTTTGGGGATGCAGGCTGGAAAGTTGATGGGAACTGATTGCCTATCAGCAGCTGAGATGCAGTTCTTGGCTTTGCTGTTCTTGGGAATCGCACAGTGCAGACTAGGACAGCATCATACACATCGTGTAAGAGACCAAACACTCCTCATGGGATGAGTGCATAAAATCATAAAGCAAACACTGATCGCAAACTTTGGGACATGAGAGAGGTGTGTATGGGGGAGGGGAAATACCAACTCCTAATGCTTTGTCTTGCTGCTCGGGGGCAGGGAAAGAAATACTAAAGGAATTAATACAGTTCCTTTTCTTTTTTCAGGTCAGAGTTGAAATTAACCATGAGATATTTAACACTGAAGTAGACAGAGCAAATACTTAAATTGTTGGACTGAGTGTCTCTTCCCAAAGAGAAACACGCACAACTTGCTTGGTGTAAGGTCACGCTCATCAGCAAGGTCCTTGGTTCCTTCATACAGCTGGGATGATGAAACCGAGGCCAAAGCTGCAGGCATCTCGCTGCGACGTAACAGAGGGGAGATACAAAGGGCAGGTGAGGAAAACTGGCTTTGGAACAGGCCTTCCATACAAACCTTACACTGCTTCCACTCTGGCTGCTCTGGGACAGGTTGGCTCTGTGAAACCAGACCAGCAGATAGGTGAGAGACTGAAATTTGGGACTGTTTTTATCCCAAATGAGAATGGGAACAGTGAGAATGGAACTCAGAGCTAACGTCCTAGCTGATGCTAATCCTTCATAGGGTCTGGAAAACCTGCTTAGTATTCTGCTCTGACCCATTAGATAGGAAGTGCAAAACTTAGTCATATTCTCTCCAGGTTAGTGCTGCATATGCTGGGCTATGCTCCTGTTTAACCAGAAAACTTAGCCTGGATTTGAGGAAGAAAAAAAAAGTCTTTCCTGAGATAAACTTCATAATAAAAATGTATTTATTTTTCCTGACAAAACAATATTTTTTCATTTGGTGAGAAATCCGTCCAAAAGCACACAGTAAGAAAGCACATCACAAGAATACAGGCAAAGTAGTCGTCAACAATTAGAATAGTTACTTGGAGAGGGGCCTGAAATAGCTAAATAAATAAAGCTGCTGTATTTGTGATATGTTGATTAATGATGTGGTAATAGCTGAGACATGTCTGTAATAACTAATTGGCTTTAAAAAACCTAAGCAGAGCCAGGATCCTCTTTGGGCTGAAGGGGCATTTGCAGTTTGCCAGCAAGGCAAACATTGGGATCAAACCCAACAGATCTGGGAAATCACAGCAAAGCCCAGAAAGCACATGCCTGATCCTACCCTTCCTCCAAAAAAAATTGATATATATAGATAAAATGGAGCGGAAAGAATATTGCTACCATTAGAGAAAGGGTGAAAGACTGAGGTGTCCAAGTCAGGCAGGAGGCCCATGTCAGAGCCAGGAGCTGAAATCACCTCTCCTGAGGATGGTCTTTTAATGTCACTGCCAAGAGTGATATTAACTAAGAGCTGACCTTCCTGTGGCTCCTGTCATGTCAGATCCCCGTGCTCCGTGGGCCCTGCCATTTGCATCCAGCTTCTTTGGTTTATCATTTTTGTTCATCTGTCCTTGGTCTGCTTTCTGAGTGGGTGAGTATCACCAGGGAAAGGTCTGGGGATGGATTAGTGTGGGGAAAAAAACAGGTTCTTTTCAACCCAAACTCCTGCAAAAGTTTAATGCTGTGATGGAGAAGGGTTAGGTTGTGCATTGTGGTTCAGAAGGGGGGGAGGAGGAGAGCAGGAATTAACCCTGGGGCATGAAATGAGAAGATTCCCCAGGACAGACTCTGGGGACTGCCAGGATCTCAGGATCTGCTCTGTGCAGCCTGGGGGAAACAGAAGAAGGCTTGGCCCTGACAGCAGGCAGGAGAGATGGAGTTAACTGATGACAAAATTTCACCTCTTTGCTCTTCTGCTCCTTTTAGGAAAACCTCATCTTGGAGAAAGGAGCTGGCTTTACAGAGGCAGGTGGCCCTAGGAGTTCAGGGTGCTGCTGGAAGCTGACAGAGGCTGCTCCATGGAGAAGAGGAGATGGAGAGGGTGAGTGAACAGGCTGAGCCGCTGTGTTTGGTTGTATTTGGTGGTGGCGAGGAGCGTGTCAGCAACAGGTGCTTATGTGAGCAGAGACCTCTTCCCTTAGAAAGAGCCTGTTTCACAGGGAGTGGCAAAGCCACTTGAACAGTGCTGCTCCACCAACTCCAGTCATAACGGGCTTTTCAGCAGCTAGTGGGGGTGCAGTCCCTGACTAGTTGCATTTGCCCAATCTCTGACCTTTTAGGTCGGTGGGAAGAGTCCCAGGCAGTCAGCAGGCTTGAGAAAGAGCCCCAAATGACAGAGGAAATCAGACTTTGGGATCTTTGAGCTGTTATTGCTGCTTGGCTCATGGCTGTGGGTATTTTTGTGTGCGTGCAGCTGTTGGGAGAACTGGGGGTGGCTACTGGGAGATGATTAAATGCATGTGACATCCCTGAGGTGAAAGAGCTCTGTGGTGAGGTCGTAGAATGTTACAACAACGCTAAGAACCAGCAAGTCTGGCAGGCATTACTATCTGGCAGGACTGTACCCTGGGGAGCAGATATTGGCTCTGCTGTGAGATTTCTCAGGCTATTTGTGCAAAGCCAGCACCCACCACTCCCAGTGTTACATGAACAAGGCCAAAGATGCTCTGTTGCCTCCATAGAACTTACTGCTTAGAAAAGAAATGAGAAGGAGAGCTAAAGGGGTTGTTTAAAGCTTGAAATCCTAAAAGAAACAGGGATTGCTCAAACGTGGGTGCTAAAAGCGAGGCTTTTCCAGACACCTTTAGGTGCCTTCTTAAATGGGTCTCTGCCTCCTGTGGAGGATGGAGAGCTCATCTGCTCCAGCAGCCTGCTCTAAGGATCATATCAGCCTTGTTGGCCTGTTCCTTTATCAGTTGTACAGAAGAAGAGAGGCACTTAACCTCCCATGAGGGCTCAACCACCCTGGGGTATCTGTATTTATTGGTGCCAAGGGCTTAAGGGCAGGTCTAAAAGCCAAATTGTGGAAGTCCTGGGCTTGAGACCCAGTGGGAATGTTGAGACTTCAAACCTTCTTAGGGGAAAATATCTAAGAAGCCACGGAGTTTATTATTATGTTTTTAATTGTCTCCTGAGCTTCAGAATTAAAGAACGGAGGGTACAGGCTGAGAGATCTGTTGGTCTGTAAAGCTTCTGGCTGTTGTGGAAGCTCCTGCTTTCAGGTGTGCGCTGTCAGGCAGCAGCTAAGTGAGATGCATGGCTGGGCTGCTTGCAGCTGCTGGCTCCTCTCTCTTCCCAACCCTGCTTCTAAGAAGGGTCAGAGTCAGGGCAACAACCCAAGTGCCAGGGAAAACTTTCAGTGGTGATGGCTCTAGTTCTCTATATGCAGAGCTGAAAATGGAGAGGGACCAAAAAAAAGTCTGAAACCCCACAATGATAATAATAATCCCGAATTCCCTCACGGTCAGTCTCATCTCACTCCACCCTTTATTTTCTCCTCCAGCAGGAAAACGTTCCCCCAGCACTGCTGGCACCCTTAGCAGGACAGATCTGGTGCTGGGAGTCAGGCAGAGAGATAGCAAGAAGGACTGAGTTTCATACAGGACAGGGAGTCCAAATTATTGCTGTGCCAGAGGTTTTTTCCATGTGACATGAAGCCTGCCTTTTAAAGCCTTATCTGTCTCAATCCTATAGTTACATGGGAGAGTTCTTTACCCTTTAGCTGTTTGGATTTTAAGCTCCTGAGACAGCTTTTTTTATTTCTTATGCCTGCATCCACCACCTCACCTGCCTGCCCCTGGCTGTGACTGCTTCTGTGACAGCCCTTTAATGAGGGGAACGAGCACAACAGAATCAGCCAGTTCTCCCCCCTCATATTTCCTCTCAGAGCAATTGCACCAGCTTCAAGGAGGCAGGATTTGACTTCAACTTGTCCCTGCTGTCAGGTGTGAAAGCACAGCACGTGTTAGCACCAGGCAACCCTGTACTTCACAAGTACATCCGAACAGCGTTGCTGCACAGCACAATTTAGCCAGGCACACTTACCAAAAACAAAAAAACACCATGGGGGCGGTCTCTGCTCAGGAGAGGGAGGTCCCAGAAGGCTGCATATCAGCCCACAGCGTGCCTTGGGATGTGCTGTACGGACGCTGAGCAGCTGGGTCCCTCTGGACCGCTGGGCTCTCACTAGCAGAGCTGGCCATAGGACTCAGAACAGGTGTTATGAATTTTGAGGCTTTGCTTTTTTTATAAAGCGGCGCAAGAGCATCTGGTCTGTCGTGCTCTGAGGTCATTTAATGATTTCCAGGACTGCCAGGAAATAGAAAATTCTTGTGCAGTGTAGAATGTGTAGAGCAAACAAATATATATACATATGCAGGGAAACAGGGCAGGGTGTAGTATTTTATGAAATATTACAGTGAAGCGGCTTCCAGCGATTTTGCCTTAGGAAGCTGCGCAGCTGTTTCAAGCTGTCAGACACTCAGGGAGATGATCTGTATTTGCATGACAAAGGCAAAAAAACAACATAGCATCTGCATTACTTCTTTCTTTGTGTGCCATGCTGGGGTGCCTTCCAGCTCCCCTCTCAGATAGGGGATAGGGCTGATTCTGCCTGCAGCCAAGGATCACGGAGGTGTTACCTTGTCGCCAAAAGCCCACCTCTTATCTGGAGAACGTGATGTTTTGGGCTGCAGCCCAATGACCCAAATGGAAGTTTAATGAAGCCAGTGGGAATCTTTCCATGAAGTGCTCAAGGGTTTGCCTTGGATTTTGTTTGCTCTCTGTAGATCTGACCCAAGGCCAGTGGAATGACTCTTATTTTGGGATATGCACGCTGTCCCTTTGAGGAATGTTTCAGAGGTTAGGAAGGGCTCACCTCCGGATGAGTACCAGGGTTCTGCTTCCCCGTGGAGCACGTGGGGTCCCACAGACCTCCTCATCCCTGATATCTTAATGAGGTGCTCATAAGGACATGGAGTGTTGCTGCCAGGGGCTCCTAGTACAAATCACCCACCGCCTGCAAGGCAGCTGTGCACGCTAATGCTGTTTTCCAACTGGCCATCAACATCTGCTTTGTCAATGTATTGATTTTTTTTCTTAGACAACTCACTGATGAATTTCCACATGTGATTTTTATTTAATTTGCCTTGTTCTCTCTAGGAACAAGCAAGCATGTTGTAGCTTTCCAGAGAACAGAAACTGCGCTTGCCAACCCACCTGTGCTTGGCTCTTTTTGCAGAGATAAGGATGTATTCATTTCACTAGTGTGGGAGTACCTTTGTAAAACTCCAGATCCATGTAATCTGGTGCTTGAGAACCTACAGTAATTTAGCATCACCATCTCTGTAGCAGTTATTAAATGTACCTGGATTACAACAGCACCCAGGGGCTTTAATTGACCCTGAGGCTGCACACTATGCAGACGGAGCTGAAAAGATACCCGTGCCTAGTGTAATTGCATAAAATAGCCAAACAAGTTACTGTTAATCCTCCTATTGTACATCTCAGGGATTGGGGAATGGAGAGAGTGATTATTTTCCAAAGTTTGTGCAGAGGTGAAGCTGTGAGTGCTGCTCCCTGGACTCCCACACCATAGCACCAGGACCCCCAGCAGGTGCCACTTGTGTTTCCCATTTGGTCTTGCTGATGGCTCCTCTAGATCCCGACCTTTTGTAGTGGGAAGCCCTATAAAGCTCTTCTAGCAGCAACTGCTCTGTCATGTCATTTAAAGTTTGGCTTTCTCCTTGAGGAAACAGAAGTTTTCCTTTCACTCTTGAAACTTGTGGTGTCTTCAGCTGCTGCATTACAGGAGATCAATAAATGTGATCCAGCATGAAATTTTCTCAACAGCTCCATCCCATCCAGGATTTGTATTTTCTGAAATCTGTCCCAAGAGCGATGATGAATACGTGCATCACTTTGGATCCGCTCAGAGCAAGCGGTATGCCAGAATTATTACAGACTTTAAAAGTCAAACGTGGGAGTAATAAAATGCTTAAACAGATTATCGTGCTTTGATGGTCCTGCTCAGGTAGAAGAGTGCATCTTTGCACCTCTTTTGCATGCATGACCTCTCTTCCCTTTAATCCAAAGGACGGCCAGACTTCACTGCCAGAAAACTTTTTTTTTTTGCTCCATCTGGATGAAACTGGGTGAAACAGCAAGGACTGGACAGTCTGATTGCAACACATGGGTAGGGGCTGCAGTTCGTGGTATGCTGGAGCCGAGATTGGGTGCAGCAGAGCCTGGCTTGAGGCAGGGACTGTAGATGCACAATGCTGCTAATACTTTGGGACAGATTTATACATATGGTGATTGGAGACAGACTGCCCTGCAGCATGATTTGTTTGGGTTTGCAGATTTCGAAGTGCTCTAATTGCCTTTTAAACAGCCATCCCTTTATTTCAGGAAATCTGCCTCAGGCTTTCCCCGTTCAAATTCCAGATTCCCATGGAAATCCAGGAGTCTGAGAACATTTCAGGCTGGTGTTTATGCTTTGTGGTGTCTTGGCTTTTGCTGTCAATGGTAGACGCTACATGTAAAGCCAATACTATAGAAAATACCAAAATAAAGATCTTAGGAAAGGGTTCACCTTTAATTTTGTTGACAAGATGGGAAACAGAGCTTTAACCCCAAGCCTTTCATCATGTTGCAGTTACCCAGGCTTAGAATAAACAGTCTGAAGACAGCAGGATAGCACACGGCTTGCCAGTGGTTTGCTTAATTCAAGACTCACCTACCAAATGTTCGGGCTAGGCCAGCTCCGTTCTTTATGTATTTTGTGGCATTCTGTGAGCTTTCTAGGAAAAAAAAAAAAGTTTCCCATTACAAGTTCCTGCAACCAAATATAGTTCTAGCTCCTACTCTAAGAGCACTTTTGATGTGCTGTTCAAAGCAAATCCATCGAAGGAGGATCCTGTTAATAAAACCCAGGAGACGCGAGAGGTCAAGTGACGCGAGTAAATAGAGCTTGCTGTCTGCTTGGAGCTCCTGTTCAAAGCCAAGAGGAATTTGTCCTGTTGAAAAAGCTAGTTTTAAATATGGAGGTTGCTCTTTGAACCGGAAAAAATTACTTCATGCTTTTGGATTGCATAAAGACACGCATCCATGTTTTTCTGGTACTCCCAAATCTATCCAGGGACAACTCCTCTTTGATATTTACTTTCCATCAAAAGAAACTCCAAACCAGAGTACTTAAACCTTTGGTGTTCTTTAGATTTGTAACGGCATTTTAGCAAGTCAGTAACAGAATCATTTGTAATGTGAGATGAGTTGTCATTGTTTACATTCATCACCTAATTAGAACTTAGAATCACAGGATATCCCGAGTTGGAAGGGATCCGTAAGGATCATCGGGTCCAACTCCTGGCACCAACTTAAATTAGTGTCAGACAAGGCATCAGTAATACAAACTCTCCCATTTAGGCAGCAGGAAAACTCAGTGAATTTAAAAGGAACCAAGCTGGCAAAAACTTGCTTCTTCCTCAAGTCTGTCCATTTTCACCTGACAGCTTTTTGGGGGAGTATGCAGGTATCTCACGCAGCACCCGTGAATTCATAGCAGAGGTGAGCATGTCAGTCAATATGTAAGTCTTAACCTTTTTTTGTTGTTTCTGAAGTTCATGCATTACTTCTGAATGCAGTCCAAGGTATTTGATCTCCTCTGTAGGCTCATGATGAAGCCATATTTCCCCATAGATATGTGCAAGCTCAGCTTAATGAGCCTCCCAGCTCTGTTACAGCTTCTAAATGGTTGTCTGCAATCATGTCATCAGCTTAAGCTACATCAAGCTTTTGTCAGGCAATTTTTGCAATATTAGAGCAATACTAAATTGACCTGATTTACTGTCCTTAAAACTATTCCCACATAACTGAAATGCCCGAACAATTAACGTTCGATGTGTCGTATGCCTTTGGCTTGAACTCAGCCAGACTACAATGCTAATGGCTTTCATATGGCTTTATTCCCCCCCACCCTGGAAAGGAAAAAGGACAGCTTTGCGTTGACATGCTAGGAAGATTAACGCTGATTAGGTTTTTGAAGGCAAAACTTCCCCCAGAATGAGGTATGATGCCAGGGCTAGCTGTTCATACAATCCAAGCATATCTGGTGCTGTGCCCTTGGCCCAGGGCTGGGAAGATTCAGGTTTGCTCAGCCTGTTGGATGCTGTTGGATGTTTTCAAGCTGCCCTTGCAGGACAGCGCTGCTTTCAGTGGTGAGGGCCAGCTTGTGGGCATGTAACCTGGGGAAAGGGTCAAGTGGATAAAAATTTCCATGAGTATATGCTGATTTTAGGATAACATGTGAACAAGTGGAGGAGATCCAAGTTCTGGCTTGAACTGCATCAATAAACAATTTGGCATTTAATTAGTCAAAGAGAAACTTTGGGGGGAAAAAAGTTCTAGATTAAAGAGTGCTTGAAATCTTGTCTGTTGATCTTTCAAAATAATAATTTAAAAAAAAAGACCGAAGTGTTCTGGATTTAATTAGATATTCAGTTTGTGAAGAGATTTCTCTATACTGTTGAAAGCTAGTTCCCTTGTTTAACATCAGGAGTGATTTGTTTTCAACAAGAATTGTTTCACAACAAAATGTTAAACTCTTCATTGTAAAAGGACCAAAGTGAAACATTTTGGCTTTACTGACAACATTTCTAGTGTTTTCCCAAGCAAAATAAATTTGATGAATTCTGCACAAATCCATTAATGACTCCGTTCAGCCCCCATGTACAGTGTTGATGAGGAGCATGCGAATGAGACTGAATAAAAAAGTTTGTTGGCTCACAAAATGCTTATTTTCAATCTTTCGGTTAGGTTCCCAGAGACCTTCTCTGCCTGAACTTCTGAATTTTAGCCTCCACATCTTCAATACACCCTTACTGTATCTCAGGAGAGACATAACTTGCATGGAGAGACAGACGGCAGGGCGGTACTAGTCACTGCTGGCCCTGAAACGAATTCAGTGGGCAGGAGCCATTCCAGGGACAGAGACCAAGTCCCAGCTGGATGTGTCCTTGGAGAAACATTTCTTCCCTACTTCCTACAAGCTCTGAAGACCCAGTGTTCCTGAAAATGAAGTCACTTGAGTCTGCCTGGAACACATTGGATGTCTTCCTAGCTCAGCGTACGTTTTCCATGTTCTTCAGTGGAGTCGGGGTTGGGTTTGTCTTGCTTAGCCATAGGCATCTAGAAATGTGTTACTTTGCCCACACTTGTACGCGCTGATAAGAGCTAGAGGAGGAGATGGTGCCTTCAGGAGGTACATCCTGCTGCTGCCAGGCTGGGTGTCCATCTTTGATGTGTCTCCATCCGCAGAGGTCAGATGTGCACTTTCTGATAGATGCCAGACTTGTAGACATCTGGCTGTGTGATGATGAGGTCTGTACAATCTTTCTCTGCAAGATGTAGTGGAAACCCTCCCGTACGTCTTTAGGCCTGGTACTTTTCCACCTCCCTATTTTATCAAATGATTAATAGTAATAAAATGTGGCAATTTATCATTGAATTGCTGGCGTACAACTGAGACTCCAGTCCTTGTGTTCCACCAGCCAGAATCATTTTTAAAGGAAGTGCAGGCGGATGCTGCAGCCTCACACGTACCTAGCTGGAGGAGGTGCTGGTGATCTGCAGGAGATTGCCCCAGACAGCAGCTGGCCAGGGCTATCTTTAGCTGAGGAACCTCTATTTTTGAAATGTGCTGGATTTTGTTGTTGTTCTTTTTCCCAGAAAGAGACTCACGATATCACTTTCATTTGCACGTGGCCTGGTGCTTTCAGCTGGCTTTCCACCCTCCCTTTCACTTAACTAGGATAACTCCAGCAGGGCAAAATACTTTGTCTGACAGAATGCTTATGCCCTAGATGTTTTATATGGGAGTCCTGCATGTGAGGTACTGATCTGAAGGAGCTGTAGCCTGCCTTTGGGAAGTCTGCCCTGTATACTGGGTAGCAGGCAGCCCACTGGGCTGGATTCCCTGCATCTGCCAGGTTTTCACCAGTTGTATCTGTTCTAGTTTCAGGATTGGTGCCAGCAAGATTCACATCTCCCATAGCTGATAAGGACAGCTGCATGCCAGGGGAGCCATCTGTACCCGACAGCAATGACCAGTCACATTTCCCTGTAGTACACCACCTTGGGGAGATTCATTTGCTGCTGCTGTTACAGAGATAAGGAGGCTAATTGCAGCTGAAAATTTCATTTCTGATGGCACACCCAGCCCCATGGTTTGTTTCTTCACTTCTTGTCATACGATAACCCTGAGCTTCTTGTCAGAGTGAGGGCTGCCAGCAGCAATGGAGAGAGGTGCTCATCTCTTGGCACAGATGCTTTATGTAGCCACAAACCCAGAGGGCTCCTACAGTGCTTGCTGCTCCCTCTTGCTCCTGCCTGTTCCTAACATCTAGAAGTGGCCCTGCAGAAGCCACTTCCTGTTTTTTCAGTCCTCCAGCAAGGTTATCAAAACAAGACAGCTTTATCAAGAAAAAGCATGCCTCACCAAATGAAAACTGGAAGATTTGGCTTCATTTGAAGGTTTTGGATCTCATTGAAATACCTCAGCGTGGGCACAGGCACTGTGTCAACCATGTGGGCCATCAGCCTCGTAAAATGCACGTTGTGTGTGAGCTTCTGTGTGCCCTGAAACCTCAAACCCACTCTTTCAGTGTAACCTGAACTTATAATTTCTGGCTAGGGAGACTGAATTAAGAGAAGCCTGTGGTATTCTTCAGGGATGGAAAAGAGCATTTTGGAAAACCTGAACTTGCCACAGCCTGCTGAACATCCAGCGAATAGCTGCTGACAGGAAGATAGCGCATGGTGTGTGCTCTGTGGGGACTCGCTCCCTTCTTTCCTCTCCTTCTTGGCTTCAGTGCCTTCTGCTAGCAATTTCCATGGCTATCATCCTGATGATGTTCCTGTCTCATTCATCCCTCGGCTTTTGGACGTGGTCGTCAGTCACAGAGCAAAAATCCTGACCTGGTTTGGCTCAGAACTGGTCACTGTTCCCAGCCCTCCCCACAAGCCCTGTGCAGATTTCTGTGGCTGTGGACGCCTACAACTCTTTGAGTCTCACAAGCAGCACTGAGAACCAGCTCCATCCACAGCTCCTAGCGGGGCCTCCCTTTCCTCCAAGTGACTCACAGTCGACATCCACGAAGGCCCTTTCTTCCAGAAGGCACCCAAAGACCCTGGACGTGTTGCAAAAAAAAAAAAGGCAAAAGTCATTTGGAAACTGCTGTAACATTGGGCCAAAATGTAAAAAAAATTGCAAAGTGAGGTTTGCCTCCACAGGGAAGAGGCTGGCTCAAATACATTCCTCCCACCTACCTTCAGACAGACTGAGTCATGCTGTGCAGCTGCTTCTCTCCCTCTGTTGGCTGCAGAGTCCTGCTTACCTAGCTTAGCGGGCCTTTTAACGTCTAGAGTCCTTGCAGGGTTCTTTATTACCCTAATTTCTCTTTTGCAGTGGAATTTGGTGCACTTGCTTAGCAAGTCAGTAGGCAGTATTCTGGATGTTCATGCGACACGATGAACCATAGGCCTCAGCCCAGCCTAACGCAATGCACAGAGAGAGAAAGAACATAGGGAGCTTGCTTCTTTTAGGCTCCTGATTTTAATAGGTGAGGATTGAAAGGAAATTGCCACTGTTGGGGTGGATGCACAAGGAATGAGCAACTACTGATGGGCACTGGACATCCCTAGTGCTGCTCTGATGGAAGCACAGGGAGAAGCTCCACAGGTCTGTGAAACTCCAGGCTTTGAAGTTTTCAGGTAATCTGTAAAAGCTCTCAGTTATATCTGTGAGAAGTCCCAGAAGTGCAAATATTTTTACTTCTTATGGGCCTCCTCGCTATTGAGACAGGCTGAAGTGCCCCTGGTCCTTCTGTATGGTGGTAGGAGCTTGCCCAGCCACCGAGTAGCTGGTTTGTGTTTTAATATAACACAAGAATAGACTAAAGAGTGTAAAACTTATGGTTTTAAGGCAGGCAAAAATTGTTTGGGTACATGAGAAGGATGCTCGCAAATTTTGGTTAACGTTGTGTGTGTCTGAAGGCAGAGTTTGGATTTAAGGATCAGTTCTCTACAGTGCTGAGCGAGAGGAGGCTAATTTTAACAAAGCTATTTTTCCCATAGCATTTCATATTTCTGTGACTGCACATCCCACTGTACTCAAAGTGCAGCCCTCACCGCAGTTGTTACATCATGAACTTAATATCTCTCCCTGGGAAATGAAAGACTTCTTAGGAAAAAAAAAAAAAGAAAGAGGGGAGAAAAAGAAGGAAGTGTTCAAAAAAGTCCAGAAAACCTCCCATTCCTCTAGGGTCCCCAGCTGTGCTGTGTGTTGTCCCAGCTGAGCTCCAGATATTTCCGCTCCGCACGTTAATGCATTCAAGGAGAAATCAAAGCGGCTGTCTTGAGCGTGCTCCGGACCCGGGGTGTACGTCCTACCTCAGAACAACCCTAATCCCTGAGGTTGCAGTCCTTTAATCTTCCCTCCAGTATGGGATTAGGGCTGAGCACAAAGCTTTCCGGAGCTCATTAGGGCTTTCTGCCTGTCGGTGTGTGAACCCATAGGCAAATTTTCAGATCCTTCACGGCCCTTGTGGTCTGGAAGCCACAGTCCCTGCCAGATCACTTCGGGTGATGCAGCAATTTTTTCCTTCCATGGTAAGGGGAGGAAAAGCAGCGCTTCTCTTGTCACTATTGCAGTGTCACTATTGCGTGTCTTGTCACTATTGCTTGTCACTATTGCAGTTCTATACTGCTGCTCTCCAAAAGGATGCCTCCGCTGGTGGGTGGCCAAGCACCTGATGGCCTCGAGGCAGCCCTGGGTAGGCAATTGATGCAGCACACCAAGAAGGGACTGCTGGAAGCCTTGCCTCATGAGGTTGATTCAGTCTAATGCCAGCTGAATCCCAGCCCTGAGCACAAAGCCAGGGTTTGGTGAGTCATAAAAGGAAACCCTTGCCACAGTCCCCTCGTCCTCGTGTCCTTAAGGAATCTCTGCACAGGGTTGTCACCACGAGGCAAAGCAGAACCTTGTGCCACAGCACCACTGCTCTTGGGGCCAGCTCTGCAAGGTGGGAGCCTCCTCTCCAGCCTGGTGCCTGCATCCCTGCAGAAGCATTTCAAGGCAAAGCAGGAGCGTGACGAACTGAATGCCTGGCAAAAATGATCTGGCTGCCTCCTGGATGAAGATGCAAGGAGCTGGACTGACCTTGACTGGTGAATTCATGCATGTGGTTTTCCTGGTTCATAAATCTCCGAGTTCTGAGCTGCTGTGGCTGTCGTGCAGACATCCCCCAGCCCTAGTGCCCTGAGCTGTCCCTCAGGCTTCAGCAGGATGGAGTTCGTGTCCTTGCCAAAAGGCCCCTTCCCTCCAGGTTCCCTGTTCCCTCTGCTTGCTTGCTTAGATGGGAAGTTTGGTAGCTGAGAAAAAAGCCACGTCACTTACCAGCTAATAAAGGGAAAACCGGAATGGCAGGCAAAAGCCATCATGTGGATTTATTTTTTTTGGAAGCCTACCTACATTTGTATGTATTCTGCATTTCTATGAATGCTCAGATATAGGATGTCCTCACGTGGATTTTCCTCCAGCAACTTCAAAACATTCTTTCCATTGACTTCAGTGGTAAGAGCTCAACTGGAGGCAAAGAAACAAAGCAGTTTGGGGGAAAAAATGAAGTGAAAAGTGATAAAATGTAGTATTACTTGTGTAGGATTGCATTTCTTGGAATTTGAGTGATTTTTATCATCGGCTACAAGACTGCCAGCATTTAGGCTATTGCTTCATGATTCTGCTTTGAAAATACTTGAATTCAGTGGAAATAGCTGAAAGCCAACAACTGCAGAAGCATTAACACTGACAGCAGCTGACAACAAGGGAAGAAAAACTGCTTGAGAAGGGCAATAGTCATGTTGTTGGGGGTTCAAGAAACACAGGCTTTATCCCTGGTTTTGCCAGGGACTTTGAGTGATTTTTGGTGTCTGTTGGTTGACCTCAAGGGTTAAGATGGGCTGTGACATGATCTGAACCACAGCAGGGGTTCATTTCTCTGGAACAGCCCTGAAACTAGCCCAGGTTCCTCATCCAAAGTGAAGCCTTTCTTTCCCCAAAGGATTTGTGTTTCCTTCCAGGCTTGCATCTACTTACAGGCAATAGGAAGAGAAAGGTGGTTTTGAGAGCACATGAATTTGGGAATAGAAAATTATGGTGATGTTTTGATGAGCTTCTTGTGCTCTGCTGAGCTCCGGCTCACAGTAGAGGTGGGTTTAAGGACTGGAGAAGAGCCAGATTTGTACCTCGTAGCTTAAGTGTTGGATTTAGGCACGAGATGGATGGTCACTACAGGGCAGATGCTGTTAGGTGTCATTATAAGGCGAATGCTGAGGATCTGCGTGGCCCTGCTTTTCTTCCTTCTCCTTCCCATGCCTAATTGCCATGTTCCAGATGGGGAGAAACATACCTTGCTAATTTCTTTATTTAGGCCAACAGAAAGGGCAAAGGCAATGTAATGGGTTTTAGCCTTAATATCCTTCTACCCCTGGTTACAAGGCTATAGGATGCAATTGCGTAGCTGTAGGGGGAGGTCCTGGAGCTTTGCCCCAGCATACTCTTTGGTAAGCCCCATCACACATTCAGTAGCTTTTAGGCTATTTTGACAAGCTGTCCTCCAAGCAGCCACCACCGAGTGCGAAGGAGTCGGGGAGATTTGCTGATAATTAGAAGTACTGCAAGGAGGAGAACGTGTTGTGAAAGGGCTCCAAAAAAAAGTGAAATAACGGCTCCCTTCCTAAAAAGGAAATATCCCAGTATGTTTTTCCTGGCAAAGGACTGCTGTCAGGGTCAAGATCAGCAAGCAGTGCCCCTCGCCACCACTGCCTGCGTGACAAGCATACATCTCCTGACACATAGCAGGGGACTTCACACCTTATAAAATCCCCTTAATGTAGCTGTAACTTGCAATAAGCAAACTTCAACCTAAATAGTGTGTCTGTCCTATAAAGAAGCTACTGTTTTCTGGCATGCAACCTCAGGCCATTAATCTCGCTGCTCACATTGCTCCGATCCTCCCTGGGGCTTAACAAATGTTTCGGGCACATTGTTAGCACAACAAATTAAAGTGGGAACTTGGGAAATGATACGCTGAGAGCTTATTTGCACAGTTTAGCAGCATAGACTCTTCTTCAACCATGGAGCACAGTCATGGGTCCCTCTTTGCAGTGTAGGGAAGGTGGTAGTAGAGGAAAACCAAATACACCATGGGACTCTTCAGTATGGGATGGCCCAGCACAGCCAGAGCAGCTGCTCAGAGAAGCTGTATTCCCCATAATTTAGCCTCTTGACCTATGCAAGCTTTTATTTTATAGTTCTTTTCTCTGCATTCAGCCCTTCATTTCTCCAGAAGTTTCTCTCCCCCAAAAGTTCTTTGACAGCATCTGACCGCCCGATGTCTCAGCTTGCTTGCGGAGTTGGATGAAACTCATCTCTTTCAGGACGTATCAGGTGAAGTTCCAATGGCTGTTTGTGCAGTCCAGCCCAGCATGGCTTTTCATATTTATTTGTCACCCCAGCTCTCAGCCCAGCCATGGCTTGCTTTGTGCCACCCAGTGCTTACATTTCTTGGAGTCTTTTCAAATAAGGTCTTGTGTCTTCACAAAACCAACCACTTCGTGGCCTGGCTTATTGGGAAATAGAAATTCAGAGGTGGCAATCGTGCCTTATTGGGAAACACAAATTCCTGTTGCATCTCAGAGGTGGCAGTCATCTTGCTGAAGGTCTCAGCTGAGTCCTCACCCTCATCCTGCTGATTTCAGAATGAAATCTAGCACCAGTGCAACCAAAACTATACAACCTACAATCAGTAGGAAGCACGTGGCTGCTTTGACATCGTTGTTCCACATATTTTAAGATCACGGATCACAAACAGGGAAACTTGTTCCAGAAAAAAAAAATCACTGGGGCCATTCTTTCACGTCCAACCCCAGTTACTGAGGTTAGTCTGTGGATTAACACGTGCGTGCATCGCTAGGTGTAGGCACGCACACACGCATCACTTCAAGCCAGGGTGGTTCTCCTGCAGAAAAAAGGGGTGAAGTCTTGCCCTGATTCATGCAATGGGCGTTTGCAGACGTGTCTCCCAGCACAGCATCCTGGCCAAGCTGGGCATGGAGCCGGAGGGCGGAGGAGTGAGGCTCAGTCCTGCGAGGCTGAATTTTGGCTGCCCATGCTCCATGGCAGACCTGGCTCAAAAAATCTCAGCAGCCAATCTGCAATTTCTGCCTTAAAAGCCAGTGAAGCATCTGATGGGATTTGCTTTTGCTTTGCTTTCTTCATCTTTTCTTTCAGGAGCAGGAAAAGTGGGAGTGAAGCCAGAGCGATTACTGGGGTTATGGAGCTGCCTGGTTTTACTAAAGTCACAGGTTCTGCCCCAAAATCCCAGCTCGCTGGGGCTCAGGGAGTCTCCAGTCCTCCGTGGGAAGGATCCATGGGAAAGCTTCAGCAGGAACCCCCTAAAAACCCACTGGAATAAGTGACAGTGGCTGTGAGGAAAGAAAGTTCTGGTATTTTCTTAAGAAACCCTAACTTTTAAGGTAACAGCAGGACTTTCCCAAGTTTTGACTCATCTTTTTTGGACGGGCTGTGGCCAGAGGTGGAAGCTTGGCTGCCCATGGGGTGGCTACGAGGTCCCTGGTGGAGGCCACTGCAGCAGGGAGAGCACAGCTCCCACGTGCTTGGGAAATCCTTGATAGCACGAACTTCTTCAAAGTCCTTGGGTTCGCCTTGCGGGTTTTTCGCCTTTTTTTTTTTCCCCCCTTATTTGCTTGTTGGCCTGAAAGCTTAATTTTTTTGGAACTGGATGCTCCCTTACAGAGATGACAGCCGTGTGGCTAATTCCCACTCGTTGGACACCTTTTCTGGGGCAAATTTCCCCTTTTTCTGTGCCTCTCCAGCTCATTAGCTCCAGGCTGGGATTTAGGCCATCGGCTAGCTTTGAATTTGGTTGTTTTCTTTTCTGTCCTTGGCACGGGAGGGACACAGGCCATGACTAAACTTTTCTGGTTCTGGTGCCAGCACAATCATGTGAGAGGTTCAGAGGCTGAAGAAAATGCTTCGGAATCGCATCTGAAAAAGGAGATTTTGCAGCTTTTTGTACATCGGGCTGCAGATTAAGAGGAGGCAAAAGTCAGACAACGGCAACCATCAAGAATTTTCCAGCCTGGTGCATCTCTGGTAGCAGCCAGAAGTAGGTACCCTATGGCAGAGGAGTGGCAGAGTGAGAAAGGAGCTGACAAAACCCAAATAAACCTGGGATCTGCTCTCAGGAGCTCTTGGGTAGGGTTTTCTGGGATACTGATGGGAAATGGGTCCCTGCTCACAGAGGTCAGCATCCCAGCATCTTGCCCTTGCTGCTTACAAGCCCTGAGCACATGCAGGAGGAGGCAGCCAGCACCCACCGCTGCTTCCCCTAATGAGGCTGTTTGTGGCCTTGGGCATCATTTCACCCACATTAGTTGTTCCCCTTCTCCACCCCAGGACGGGAACAGGGGCACGAGGGACGTGTGGTGCATGCAGGCAGCCCTGGGCTCTGGCCTGGTGCCTGTGTCAGTGCTCTCTGCCTGCCCTTCATGTTTTCCTACAAACCAATGTGAAGCTTGTAAAACTGCCGTCCCTTCCACGTTAACCCAGCTCACACCTCTGCTTCTTCCAGGGGCTCAGCTCCAGCGGAGCTCAGAGCTGCAGGAAGCTCCCCAGCTTTGAGGAAAAAAAAAAAACAGAAAAAAAGGCAAATGGGGTTGATCGTGCAACGGGCAGGATGCTCCTGTGGATGGCTCCGTGATGGCAATCTCCACCCTACCTGTCCCAGGCTTGTAAGACTGGAAGTATTTGGGCAAAATGTAAGTAAGTAAATGGAAGAAAAAATCTTTTTGTTCTTTTTGTTTGTTTTCCTCTCCTTGGGTGTAAGCGGAGGTGCAGAGCCACGTGGAGGGGAGGTAATTGGGGTTTTGGACACGAAGCATCATGGGTGGTGTCCTGGCCAGCTGTGTGCTTAGATCAGCCTGGACCTGGAAATGTTCCTGCTCCTTGCTGGCTCCTTTTATCCCCCTCTGTGCCCCCTCCAACACCTGAACGAGTGGGGTTTACAGACCCTGGAGCTGGCAGGAAAGGGAAGCAAACCCAAAAAACATGTGAGCAGCCTTGTTATTGTCCTCACCTGATGAAACAAACAATTAGAAGCCCCCAATGAAAGGCATCTCTGGGGGGGAGGCTTGCAGACAGCTCATAAATCAAAAGTGCACCTAACTTTTTCCCTCCTGGCTGTGCCAGCTCTGTTTGGCTTGGCAGCCCGTCCTCATTTTCAGGGCATTAAGGAACCGAATTAAATAATTGAGAACCTTTTCCTTTGCTAGCGCTGTCCCTTGGCCTGCCGTGAGAAACAAATAATTTTCTTCAGACAGGATCTTCTGTGAATCTATTTTATTCATGATTGCAATGGCGGGCATCCTGTCAATCAGGAGCACATTTTAGTAAATAAATCCTAACCTTTTATTCCCTATTACCCGACGCCTGATCACCTCCCCTGTTTCCTCATTAGCTGAGTACTACAGGTTCACAAGCTACTCGACGCTCCTCTATACCATATATGTACAGTTTTTCTTTTTTTCTACCCTTTAATTTCTCCCTTCTTATGTTTTGAGAACTTGTGATCTTTGTTTTACTGATCACAGAATCTCAGAATTTCTAGGTTGGAAGAGACCTCAAGATCATCAACTCCAACCTCTGACCTAACACTAACAGTCCCCACTAAACCATATCCCTAAGCTCTACATCTAAACGTCTTTTGAAGACTTCCAGGGATGGTGACTCCACCACCTCCCTGGGCAGCCTGTTCCAGTGCCTAACAACCCTTTCAGTAAAGAAGTTCTTCCTAACATCCAACCTGAAACTCCCCTGGCGCAACTTAAGCCCATTCCCCCTCATCCTGTCACCAGGCACGTGGGAGAACAGGCCAACCCCCACCTCACTACAGCCTCCTTTAAGGTATCTGTAGAGAGCAATAAGGTCGCCCCTGAGCCTCCTCTTCTCCAGGCTGAACAAGCCCAGCTCCTTCAGCCGCTCCTCGTAGGACTTGTTCTCCAGGCCCCTCACCAGCTTGGTCACCCTTCTCTGGACCCGCTCGAGCACCTCGATGTCCTTCTTGTAGCGAGGGGCCCAAAACTGAGCACAGTACTCGAGGTGCAGCCTCACCAGAGCCGAGTACAGGGGGACAATCACCTCCCTAGCCCTGCTGGTCACACTGTTTCTGATACAAGCCAGGATGCCGTTGGCCTTCTTGGCCACCTGCTGGCTCATATTCAGCCAACTATCAACCATCACTCCCAGGTCCTTCTCCATCTGGCAGCTCTCCAACCACTCATCTCCCAGCCTGTAGCTCTGCTTGGGGTTGTTGTGCCCCAGGTGCAGGACCCAGCACTTGGCCTTGTTGAACTTCATGCAGTTGGCCTCAGCCCATCGGTGCAGCCTATCCAGATCCTCCTGCAGAGCCTTCCTACCCTCAAGCAGATCGACACACGCACCTAACTTGGTGCCATCTGCGAACTTACTGAGGGTGCACTCAATGCCCTCGTCCAGGTCATTGATGAAGATGTTAAAGAGGACCGGCCCCAGCACCGAGCCCTGGGGGACGCCACTAGTGACTGGCCTCCAACTGGACTTGACTCCATTTACCACGACTCTTTGGGCCCAGCTATCCAGCCAGTTTCTAACCCAACGAAGCGTGCGCCAGTCCAAGCCAAGAGCAGCCAGTTTCTTGAGGAGAATGCTGTGGGAGACGGTGTCAGAAGCCTTGCTGAAGTCAAGGTAGACCACATCCACAGCCTTTCCCTCGTCCACCCAGCGCGTCACTTTGTCATAGAAGGAGATCAGGTTCGTCAAGCAGGACCTGCCTTCCATAAACCCATGCTGACTGGGCCTGATCGCCTGCTTGCCCTTCAAGTGCCACATGATGACTCCCAAGAGGATCTGCTCCATGAGCTTCCCTGGCACTGAGGTCAAACTGACAGGCCTGTAGTTCCCCAGGTCTACTCTCCCGCCCTTCTTGTAGATGGGCATCATGTTTGTTAGCTGCCAGTCAGCTGGGACCTCCCCCGATAGCCAGGACTGCTGATAAATGATGGATAGGGGCTTGGCCAGCTCCTCTGCCAGTTCTCTCAGTACCCTTGGGTGGATCCCATCCGGCCCCATCGACTTGTGCACATCCAAGTGCCGTAGCAGGTCACCAACCAGTTCTTCGTGGATAGTGAGAGGGCCACATCCTGCTCCCCATCCCCTTCCACCAGCTCAGGGTACTGGGTATCCAGAGAACAACCGGTATGGCTGCTAAAGACTGAGGCAAAGAAGGCATTAAGCACCTCCGCCTTTTCCTCATCTTTTGTAACTAGGTTTCCCCCCAGCATCCAGTAAAGGATGTTGATTTAGAAAGAACTATTCCCGCACTGCTCATCTTGTTTTTCTCAAGAGATGTTCTGGATTAATTGGAAATGCTGCTTTCTCCCTCCATCCTATCACTAATCCATTGAGAATAGGTATTACTAAAATAAACTTAAAATACATAATTTCTATGTATATATACACACCCCTCTAATAATTAATTGTTATTTCTTAAGATAAAGAACAACATTCACAAACTAATAAGGATTCTTCTAGTGGGGATTGAATACCCTCCTTTTTCTCCCACTTCCAGAGAGTGTTCCCTGGAAACACTCAAATTCTGTGTAATTCAGTCCCTTTTACTCATTAATTCATTAAGAATTCTTCTGAGGAGAAGTTAAAGGTTTACAACAGATCGTTTTAACAGTTTTAAGCTTAAAAGTCTTTGTTAAGTTTGCAGTCTCTCAGGTATCAGGGCTTTTTAACTGATGCTTTTACCCAGGTATGAGTCCACCCTTTCTCACCCATTCTTACTGTCGTCTTGGTAGTCAGGAGCACTTGGAACAGTCCGTCCCACTCAGGTTGCAGTTTCAGTTCTCTCAGTGTCTGCATCAGATCCCAATCTCCTGCTCGGAATGGATGGATCAGGACTTCCAAGGGTGGGGTTTGAGCTAACAGTCCCCGGGTCCTGAGAGATGACAAAGAGGATGACAGCCCGAGTATATAGTTCTTAAGAAAAGCATCTTTTGTTTGAAATTGAGGTAATTCATTCCTTTTGTTCATGTAGAGCAACTTTTACTTCTTTTTAGTTTTGTGTAGAGGTAGATCAGCAGTTCTCTGAATCCTCTCTGGATTTATTCTTTGTTCCCCCTCAGATGCCAGATGCCCTAAATACTTGACTTCTCCTTCTAGGTATTGTAATTTATTTTCCTATACTTTCAAGCCCTGTTTTGCCAGAAAGACGAATAGCTTGTTGGTGGCTTCCTTCTCAACCAGTTTTCTTCTGTCCTGATGATAAAAGATCATCCACATTACTCCAGAATTTGTTCTAGAATTACTCCAAAATTTATTCTAGAACTTGCCCAAATAAATGTGTGGCCCAGTAAACCCCTGAGGTAAAATTGTCCATCTGTATCACTGCTTCTGCCCCATTTCAGAGTCTTTCCACTCGAAGGCAATCATATCTTTGCTCTCAGGGTCTGAGAGCACCCCATTAATAATACCATTATTCCAGCCTAACAATTTACTACTTGAACACCCAATTTCATCATCAAATCCTTTCCCAATAAGTTAGTCCCTGCCTCGGGTGCATACAATAATTGCCCAGTGATCATTCTATCCCTAGTCTCAGCTCGGTGTCCCCAAAAAGTGGCACCGTTATCCCAGTCCCTTCTACCCCCATCACGTTTAGGGTTTCATTAGTTAATTTAAGCCTTAATACTTTACAGGCCAGTGATGACCTGGCTGCCTCAGTGTATTGGGTTCACATGGCAAGGTTCTGGTAGCGGGCGAGCTGCAGGGGTAACCCCTGGGAGAGGAATCTAGCAGCTGCCCCATGTTTGATAAGGACCCGTTTCAGCTGGCTCCAAAGGGGCCCACCGCTGCCCAGAGCCAAGCCATGAGCAATGCAGTTTAAATCTCTATGAGAGCAGACCCAAGAAAAGGAAAAAAAATCTGCACAGCAGCAGCTGGGAGAGCAAGGAGGGAGAAACCTCCCTGCAGACGCCAAGGTCAGTGCCGAGGAGGGGGAGCGCAGTGCAGAGGTGCTCCAGGTGCCGGAGCCGAAGCCCCCCCGCGGCCCACAGAGAGGCCCCTGGTGGGGAAAGCAAACCCCCACAGCCCATGGTGTGCCGCAGCAGAGCAGATCTCTGTGCTGCAGCCCATTGCGGAGCAGCCCAGGAAGGTCGGCACCCCACAACAGAGCAGAGGGAAGAGTGACCATGAAGGAGCAGGGGGAACGAAGCACCACGGACTGACGGCAGCCCGTAGCGATAACTGTAGAGTGATCCACGGTGAGGTACACTTGAGGAACCCTTGAGGTACACTTTTTTCCCTTTGTCAGGGAACCAGCTTTATGAGAAGCCCTGACTCCCCTATTCTGAATTTATAACAGCAATCTCTCCTCTTCTTCCACTCCGGATACTCCTAGCTGAAGTGGCCAGCCTGGCCACACTTAAAACATCTCAGAGCCTGTCCCTGCAAGGATTTAGGCTGCAACACAGGTAGCTTTCCTTGTCTGCTATTCCTCCATCTCTCTTCCTCTCCTTTCCATCCTGGGCCCTCTATCTCCCCCCGCCTCACTACCCAGTACGCTGTGAATATCATTTGTTTCGCTCTCTACTTTTCCTTCTCATCTCCCCTCCTGGCGTACACCTTCATGCCACCTGCACTGCTCACTCCAGCCTCCCACTTTCTGAAGCTTTTCCTGTCTATCTGGCCAGGCTTTAATCCCTAAATGAACTTTAAAGAGCTCATGGGCAACCAGGTCCTCAGGATTCGTCCCGGAGTACTTTCTAATTCTGACCCCGAGTCCTTCATAGGATTTCTATGTTGTGGGTTGTTGTTATTGCAGTTGGATAAGCAGATATTTCTGCTCTATCGGAATTACTCTTGGTCTGGAAGGGGCTGTTAGTTTCCTATTCTTGCATAGCTGCCTGGCGAATCATTCCCCTCCAAAACATTCTTCTCCAGTGAGTAACATACTCAAGATTGACATTTCCCCCCCAGGAATACAAATTAGGCCTTAGAAACAGATTTGACTGTTCTGCTAGGCCCTCAGTTAAAGATTTCATTTCCTCCTTCAAACTCCCAACCTCTCTGCTGGTAAGGGGGGAGTGGCATCGGCCCTGCACAGCCCCGAGACCCCACCAGGACCCCCCCACCTCTGCTTCTGCCTCTCCGCGCTCCCCAGCGCGACTTCTCCAGGGACAGCATCATTTGCAGTCCCTGTCTCCCCTCCTGGAGCACCTGCTGCTGCCTCCGGTGCAATATTAGGATTACAGGGAGCATTACTTGATTCCTCCTCCAAAACCAGAACCTTATTGTTTGCATATAAATTTCAAGCCTGAATTTTCATCAGACCCGTATTTTGGCCAAAATACTGAAGTTCCTTTTATTATATTTTTAGGTCAGACAGTTACACAGTATCAAACCATTTTTAATTATATATTTTAAAATCTTTTTTTCCCTACTTTTTGGCCTGTCTTTCCAAATCCTTACCATTCTCTCCAAAGGGCTATCTTTAGGTACAATCCCGGGATCTCCAACCCCACTGCTGTCTCTTGGAACCCTTAATCCCCAGCTCTTCCTGACGTGCTGCTGAGGACTTCACCACCCACAGAGTACCAGCACGCCTTCACCCAGGATTAGGACGGAGGTGGGGTTTACTGCCAAGCACCTCACCATATTCAGGTACCGTACACCTAAGGGCCCAAGACTCTTTTTCACTCCTCTCCTCTCTCTTTCGCTTCGTCCCTCTCCAGCCCAGGGGACTTTGTCTGTCCCCTCGTGGGACTACAGAGCCTCGCGGATGAGGACTCCACACTCGCTCTGCACTAAAAGTGCATCTCATCCACACTCATTCACACCAGAGTCTCCCCAAACCCAACCTGAGGCAAGATACGGTAACGTTTCCCTTACCTCGGTCCGTGCACGGCTTTCCGGTCCGGGTTATCAGCAGTAATCCCAGTGCCTGTTCCCAGTCCGGGCTGGAATATATGTGGGCTGTGTCCGTGTATGTCTGTGCTGGCCTCCCTTCTCCCCAGAGCTTCGCAGAGCCTGGCTTTAAATTAACAGCCTTGGTCCTTTGCTGGCCATACCAAGATGACCCACCGCCCGTGACGGGAACGCTTGTGCTGGCAAGAAATCTGCGGCAGGTGACAAGATCCCGGACGAGCCCCCAGATTGTGAGAAACATCTCAAATAATTTTCTTCAGACAGGATCTTCTGTGAAGCTATTTTATTTGCGATTGCAGTGGCGGGCGGCCTGTCAATCAGGAGTGCATTTTGGTAAACAAATCCTAACCTTTTATTCCCTATTACCCAATGCCTGATCACCTCCCCTGTTTCCTCATTGGCTGAGTACTACAGGTTCACAAGCTGCTCAACGCTCCTCTATACCATATATGTACAGTATTTCTTTTTTTCTATCCTTTAATTTCTCCTTTGTTATGTTTTGAGAACTTGTGCTCTTTGTTTTACTGTTCTCACACTGCTCATCCTGTTTTTCTCAAGCTTCTACCTTATTTTGGAACAGTGAGGCCTTCTACTGCCTGCTTATCTACTTAGCATTTCTCTTTATTATGACTACGCAGCTACCTTGGAATACAAAAATTAGTTCTCTACTGCAGAAACACAACTTTGTTTCTCACCCTGCCACCAGGCTCATTGAGGGACGGGCAGCTGGGCTTTGCCTGCTTTTTATCCGCACCCACGCTGGGGAAGAGCTCAGGATGGTTGCTGCCACTCATCTCAGCAGCCCCTCTCCTCCTCCACATATCCCTTCTGCTCTGGTCTCATTTGTCTTTCTCCTGCCCCTGTGATGAGCGGTGGATGCAGGCTTTTATTTATTATTTATTTTTTCCATAGAAAATTTGATGTTCATCCCAAGGGGCCAGGGAGGGATGATGCCCCTTTTCAGCCCCGAATCGGTTGCATTGATCCAGAAGCAGGACAGGGGAGGATTTTTCCAGAGCATCCCAGCAGCGTGGCCGCCAGGAACATCAGGCTCTCCCTCCTGGCTTTTATTTGCTTCGAAATACCGTCCAGAGATTTCTGCTGAAAAACCAGGGGAAATGGGCCAAACAATGAAGGTTTTGAGGATGCGTTTTCAGCCCAGCACTCAGCCCTGCGCTGCTGGGAGGTGAAGGGCAGGGGAAAGCAGGTTGGAGGGAGGCAGAAAGGCAGAATGAGGAGTTTAATGAGCTGGTTTGGAGTCTGCGAGGGCCAGGCTGGGCATTTTGGGGCTGCTCTCTAGCAAATCTCTAGTGGCAGTGACAACTTTAACATTCTGTAACACAAAAACTTGCCAGTGCTGCTTTCCAGCTCTATGTTCCCCTCTCCACGCTGCTGCACCAAGGCAAGCAGGACGCTGGGAGGGAGCTTCCGAAGCATGCTGTGCTGAGCAGGTACAAAAATTGCTATTAAACAACTTAAATTCCCCTTAAATAACTTTATATTTCACCCCGCACAGCCTTGGCAATGATGAAGGTCTGTGCTGACAGCAGTGGGTTTCTCCCAGCCCAGCTTGCAAGGAGCCGTGGTGATGCTTTCTGAGAAACCGGTGTAAGTGAAGGAAGGGAAAAAAATCATAATTGGAGGAAATTACTCGAAATTCTGCCTGCTAGCTAGCCTCCAGCCTCTGGAAAACGTCGCTGCGTGGCTGCAGCGGCTGGGCTGCTGCGGGCGGGTGAAGGCAGGAAGAAAAATGACCCCGTGTCGCTCTTACAAACAGCTTCCCGAAAGCAGCCTGCGGCTAGGAATGCTGCTGGATGCAATCCCTTGGAGGAGGAGAAAGTCCAGGGGAACGTATTTTTGTCTTTCTGAAGGATAAATCATCCGAGCCGAGGCTGCCCTGGAAAAGTTGCAGCTCGGGGGCATTGCTGGGGTGCCTGGACAGGGAGGATCTCACACCCCGTGATTTATGGTGGGGCTGAACCCCCCTGGGACTGCCAGGAGGTTTTCTGACATTTGCAGACCCAAAAAAAGGTCTGCCAGGATGCTGGCCTTGGAAGAAGGGGTCGTAAAATATTTTCTGTTTCAAACAAATCTCCTCTTCCCTCCCCAGCCACAGTGTGGTGCTTGGCTCTGCTCCTCGCCATCCCGTGCCCCAAACCAGCCTCCTGCAGCCGAAATCTGCTTGGCATCGGTGGGCTTTAAGCGCTGCCTCGTGCCCTCTGAGCCCAGGTGAGTGGCCGTGGCGTGGGTCAACCCTGCTCAACCACTGCTAAAATAGAAAATATATATAAATATAACCTGTGGCACTCCTATAGGGCTGCACAGGGAGTCAGGGAGCTGAATCCCGGGGGTCCTGGCCCCCAGAGCAGTGCAGGTGTTTGGGGATGGGGAAATCTCAGTGCCTGAAGCTGCTGTGCTGGAAATTGGTGCTGAATTCTCTCCTAATCCCTAGCAAGGTTGCTAAAACGGGATAAAAAAAAGCCATAATCCGTCCTGGTTCCAGGACAGCGGCAGTATGGGTGGGATGGGTTTTGTTCCCAGTCCCCGCCATGCCCACACTGGTTCCCGGTCCTGAACAGCACCACGATAATTTCTCGAGGTTCTCCCAGCCCCGGGGACATCCGAGCTCAAAAATAAACCCGCAGCAGAGGCAGGGGAGCAGGGAAAGGGCAGCCGACCCCGCAGGCAAAGCTGTGCAGCCGCCAGCCAAGGATGCCTCCAAAGAGGGTGCCAAGGGAGGAAGGAAGGGCTAATTAATGCTAATTGCATTGCACTGCGGCTCGTCTTTCAGGGAAGGGCCCTTCCCCAAGGAAAAGGGGGCTCCCTGTGTGCAGCAGCCCTAGGGGCTATGCGGGATGGGGCTCTCCTCCTCCTACCCCACAGAGGAGCAAGCTCACAGGTGGGTTTTGTCCTGGTGGACCCCAAAGCTGCTGCTATTTGCACGGTTTGCCAGATCTGACTAAATTCCCCTTCTTTTCCACAAAATCTTACAGCAAGAAAATAAGTCAGGGGGAGCACCAGACAGACCCCAAGAGCACCTTCCCAGGACCTAGAAACACCCCTGCATGGATGCAAAGTTTGCCCAGCTCGGTGACCTCCCCACTTTATCCCTGCCGTAAGGCTCTGTAGAGCCATCCAGGCTTGTCCTCAAGCTTCTCCCTTTTTTTTTTTCCCCTTTTCAGCCTCCTTTCCCCGATCTCCCCCTCCTCCGCCAGGCTGGCAGCGCCCCAGCCATGAGCTCACGCCGTTCGCTGCTGGGTCCCGGATGTGCATGGGAGGCAGTGGGACAGCAAAAAAAATGAGTGCAGAAAAAAAAAATGAAATAAATGAAGCTCTGTGCAGCTCCTGTAGGGTTTTATTTTTTAAGAGGGGCAATAATCACAATAATGGGGGGAGCTGGGTCCTGTTTCGGGAGGACCACTGAGGCCTGTGCCACGGTGCGGGTTCAGGGTGCTCCTGCAGGAGGTGCAGAGCATCTTGCAGAAGCAGATCTGTAGAGGGGACAGGTGGTACATTTTAATCATAATTTTGTTTTATTTTATTTTTTTCTCCCCTTTTACAGCTCCCCAGGTATGGCAACTTGGTGTTATTCCTGTGGGGGATGCGATCAGTGATAAATTCGGGGTCACGGTGTCTCCCTTGGCGTAACCACCTGAAGGTATGCGCAAGTGGAAAGAAGCGCTGGGGGGGCTCTGATTTTCACCTCTGCCTCCTACAGCCTCCTGGCACCAGGCACTGCACCTTTTCCTGCTTGCTGCTGTTTTAAAAGAGCGACCCAATTAATCTTGCTGGCATCCTTTTCTTGCAGGAAAATCCATACAAAGAGACATCAGGACCTTTGAGGCAGAATTGACGAGTGCCACTTGGTTTTGGAGCAGAGCCCGGACACGGGGCACATCCCGATGCAAGAGGGTGCAAAATACTCCAGGTAAAGCCCCCCTTGTGACATCCCGAGGTGCTGGGGGTGCTTTGGTGCAAATATAACGACTGATGGAGCGTTATTTGTGCTCCGTGCTCTCCGGAGCCTCCCCTTGGCACTCAACAGGAGCTGCTGCGTGCTTCAGCTTGGGCACTGTGGCCTCAATTCCCAAACTCCTCCAACCCACCGAGGGCTGCTGTCGGCATTCCCAGGGCTTCACAGCCGGGAAATAGCAGCCATCTCTGCGGAGAGCCTGATGTCACAAGATTTTTCAGCCTGATTTCCAGAGCAGCAGTCTGGATGTGCTTCAAACCTCTTGACTGCTTTTTCCAACCAGCGTTGTTGCTTAGGATTTGGGGGGGGATTTTTTTTTTTTTTTTCCGGGCTCTCCCTTCCCCTGCTCTCAGCCTGTCTTGCGGAGCTGCCGATTGAGCAATCGGTGTCTGTTCCTTAGACACGTCACCGTGGAAATTCCTGAGATTGCTGGTGGGGACCCACACGAAATTAGCCCGGGCTGGGGAGGAGGAAGAGGAGGAGGAGAAGGAGGCAGCTGCCCAGGAGATGGGTTTGCTGCGGGAGCAAATCCTTTCTGCTTGTCCTCTCTGGGAACAGCCACTTCCAGGGGCTGGCTGTCAAGAAGATTTGCGAGGGGCTGTTCTTCTCCCCTCTCCTTTTTACGTGACCACCAGCACCAGCCGGCCCCACAGAGGAACACAGCTTGCGCGGGGCTGAGCAGGACACAGCGCGCTCTTTTGCAATCAGCTTGGCTCGGGATTGCAAAAAAAAAAAAAAAAAAAAGCCTTTTTAATTTTTTTTTCCCCCAAAAAAATTAAAAAAGGAGTTGTTCCAGTGGCTGCCTGTCACAAGGGGAAGAGGGGTGGGAATGAGGTGCCAGTTTCACAGCGCTTCTTGCTGATGCTGAAATTCTCCCCTCTTGCTTTCAGGATGAAGCCACGCCAGGCACATGGGGGCTCATTTCGCTCTCCCCAGCAGCAGATGCTTTTGTGCTTGGCGGCCGAACCCAAAAATCTGCCTTGGCCTACTGGGAAATGGGAGGTAAGATGCTGTTTGGTGAGGACGCCCTGACTTGTCCCGCTTCAGGGAGCATCCTCCCTTGGGAATCGCTCGCTGGGAGAATTAGCGTGGTTTTATTTTATCCCCTACCATGAGCTGCACATGGTCCACGTTATACCACTGTGGAGCGAGATGTAACTCTTCTGTGGTCCACTGAAGGTTTTTTTTGTGTTAACACCTGCATTTTTGGGTTCCCCTCTGGGCTATGTGCTGCTTTTAGGCCCATATGGACGCCTACAACCTGCTCTGCATCTGGGTTTTCAGGTGCAAAGAAGGGGTGCTCCTAAGGGAGCACCCTTGTGGCCACAAAAAAAGCACAGAGTGCAATAAAAGCATTTGAGGAGCTGGGTGTGCACATCTTCAGGGGCTTTTCCAAGCTTGTTTTTGACTTCCAGCAGTTTTGGAAGTGAGAAAATAAGGCAGTGAGCGTGGCACTGCCATGGGTTAGTGGGGAGTGAGCCTGATCAGTTCTCCCCACCTGCAGAATTAATCACTTAAGGCCTTTCAGGTTTCTACGTCCAGTTCTTTGACCATCTGCAGGTTCCCTACATGGGCTATGTAATTGGAAAAGGGAGCTGCAGCTCACCCAAGGGTATGGGGTGGCCTCCGGGAGCCATGTGTGTATCTTCCACCTGCCAAAGCAGGTTTGGAGGCTGTTTTTTTGGGCAGGTTTGAGAGCTGGGTGTTATTATCAGGTATTTCCCTGACCATGAGCTGAGCTAGGAGGGTGCATGCCTCAGTCACAGACCACTTGGGTTGGCGTGGTCCCCCTTTGGATCACCCATCCCAAAAGCTTGGTTGTCCCAAAATCTCCCCTTCCCTGGGATGGTGAAACAGCCACGCCATGTTTAAAAATATAGGTGGCATCCCCAAAGCTTCAGCCCCTCTATCTGCCCTCCCAGCCCCTCTTTCCAGGAGGCCAAAGGGGTGCCTGTGTGCGAGGCTTCAGACCCGAATCCTCGGGGTTACATCTCTGTGATAGCGGGATTTCGCGGAGCAAGGCGGTGAGGTCACGGCAGCCGGCCGCGCTTTTATTTCCGCGGGGTCTCTATAGCAGCCAGCGACAAAACAAAACATATATTCCTCCGAAGCAGAGTTTCCTGGCTGGTGGCGCTCATTTTTCTTTACGAGCTGACTTTGGAAGAGAGCAGAGCGGCAGCTCATGGAAACTGGGATGTCTTTCTCCCCGCTGTCTGCTCCTCCGTCCCGGCAGATAAAGGTTAGACATCTGTTTCGGATCTGCTTTAACCGAAGGACGGACCCGCTCCTGCCGTCCCATAAATCATGCAGAGTGCAGGCCCTGCTAATTGCTGGGGCTCTTTGTCCTAAGATGTCCAGTGCAGCTGCGGGCAGGCAGTGCCCACGCTTCCTGCCTTTCCCTAGCGGTCCCTCAGTGCTCTGAAGCTGGACGTGATCCACACGGGTGAGGGTCTGGGGACTCCCACGTGCCCAAATCTCACTTGGGTACATCCCCTATTTTCAGGAGCACCCCGGGTGAAAAGGCACACGTTTCCCTAAAACCTTGACCTCAGAGTTATGCTTACAGCATAAGGCATTGCTTCAAGCGTGGCGTTCCTGGAAAACCCACGGAGATGTGTATCTGTACATTTAGGTTATTTTAGATTGGCTTCTTGTACCGATGCAATAAACTTAATACCGGCTAATAAAACATTTCAGAGCCACTTTGCCTCCCCTTGTAAAGGTTTCCCTAGATGGAGATAATTAAATGCGAAACTACAGCGTTAAGAAAACCCAACCAAGCGCTCAAAAGCTGGTGCTTTCCCACATTTAAGGGTCTGGCTGCAAAGCTTAACTCTGCTCCATATCCTCCTCTCCATTTTTACAGTACCGTCAGCACCATAAAGGATTACGTCTCGGCCCTGGTGTTGAGTCCTGTGGTTTTCACCAGCAGCCTCGTAGCTTGCTCGCATCCAAGGTCAGCACGGGGATCCATTTGGGGGAATTATTTAGACAAAGCTCTGCAGGGCTGATGTGTGCCATGCTGACCCTGTGTTGGAGACCCGTACCAAGTCTCAGTGAGGTTCAGACCGAGCAGGCTGGAGCAGGACGGGGAGGCCAAGTCACCTCTCCGCTGACAGTGAGTGTTTTTACGAGATGTCCTGGCAATTAGTGGAAGAAGAGACGCAGCTGTCGATGCACTGAAAGATACAGTTTATAGGGAGTGATAATATCTTTTATTAGGCTCCAGAAAGCAGGATTTGGGGCACATGAGTCCTGTTCTGAGCTGCAGCTGAGGGTGTGAGAGCATCAGCCCCGCCACAGGGCACGTCCTCCAGGGATTCACCGGGGCTCTGTGCCCCCTGGGACAGACCTGAGCTCCCCAGGGTGCAGAGGCTTTGCTTCCAGTGGGGCTTTTATTTCAGCTTATGGGGAAATGCTGCGTTGAGACCAGCTTTTAGTTCTTTGCTGTCTCGTTATAGAGCAGGTGTTGAAGATTGATGCTGTACCTCTCAAAACAAAGGCGTAGGCATCATCAGATGGTGTGCGAGACGTTTGATGTTAAGGGTAGAAGCCTGTCCTTTGAAACTAGTAAGCAAAAAACTGGGAAATTAATGGCTTCTCAGGCTTTTAATTTTTGATGCAGATTTAGATGGGGTGTCCTGCTTAAAGGAGGGTGTCCCTGGACTGCAGCATCCTTTGCTTCACACATCCATCCCTTGAATTCCTCAACGCAGTGACTGCTGCGTGTCCTGTAGGATGCTGTGAAGCAATGGTTTCACCTAGGGCGGCTTGAACAAGAACACCTTAATTAGGATTGAGTTTGTAAGGAAGGGAAAACAGCAAGCACAGGGTTTAGAGAAGCATTTGGAGGTTTTCATGCTTTCTTTTTTTTTGTCCCCTGGCAACGAACCCAAGAGGAGAAGCGCATCGCTTCGTTGGGGCGGTGCTGAGCGGGACGCCTGCCCCGAGCTATTTTTACTCCTGGTCGCGTCCTGCAGCCACGCTGGCAGATGCTCTCCCAGCTGCAGATGACTTCCATGTGTAACCCCTTTTGGCTGCTGGCTGGGGGCCTAGGGCGTAGCTTGCTGCCTTGCAGGGCTCCTCAGAGCAGGGCCATGCCCAACACCCCGGGGGTCGGCAGCAATGGGGGTCCCTTCCCAGCCCGCGCCTTCCCAAAGCCTTCCCTGGATCATCCAGGTTGGGAAAAGGGTAGGGTGGGAAGGATGAATCACGGGTCATTTTAACCTGGGTGCTCCCAGATTAAAAGGAGAGGCTGCGGAGGAGGCTGGAGCGTGGGATGTGTCCGCTCTGCAGGCAGGCAATGCTTAAAGGCCATCAGGGAAAAAGGGGGGTCTCCAGCATACCCTCGGGGCACGGTGAAAAGCAGGGCAGGCTGCTCTGCCCTTCAGAGCAGCTACGGGGAAACAATTGCAATAAAAAATTTAAAAGAAACTGTAAAAAAAAAATCAGTGCGCCTTTTTAACGAAGCCCTTACAATGTGCTTGGTGCTGAGCAGAGCACAGCTGCCAGGGCTCAGCTCATGCAGGAACCCCAGCCAGGCACAAGTGGCTCGGTACTGTCCCCCCACGGGGACAAAGCCTGGAGCAGCCCCCGGGATCCATCTGCAGCCCCACGCAGACCTCTTTAATCCTGCTGCTCCCAGGTTTTGCAGGATATTGTCTGGATTCACCTCAAACGACCCGGGGGCTTTGGAGGAGCCCCTTTTTGGGAAATCCCTCTTTGGAGGAGCCCTTTTCCCAACAGTGACAGACACCCCCAGAGGTTGGTTGCTCCCAGGTGTTCATCTGCTTTTTGTGCTTTTGGGGCAGATTTTGCCTTTTTTTTCTGACCAATTTTAGCTTCCTTGAGTGAGCCCAGATAAGTACCAGAATACCCTGTGGTCACCATGGCCAAGGACAGCAAAGCAGACCCCCGGGGATGCCCATGTGGTTGTGTAGGTCGGAAGGGATCTCTGGATCTTCCAACACCTTGCTCAAAGCAGGGTCAGTTGAGGCTGGGTTGCTCAGAGCAATGTCCTGCCTCGTGTAAACCCCTCCAGGATGGAGATCTCATGGCCATCTCCTGGGACATCCCATTTTCCAACTTTCCCAAGCTGGAAACCCCCAGGTTACCAGCAGCATCTCAGAGATTCCCCCCTGAATGTCCACGCTCCAGCCATCCTCCCTTTAAGGGCCATTAGGGATTTCACACCAAATAAATAGTTTCCAGACTGAAAAATCATTCCCCTGATGCCTACCACAGCTTTAAAAAGAATGGGACAAAAGCACGAGTTTCTCAAAACCTCCATTAGACTTTATTTAAAAGTTCTTTGTATAGACTTCCTGACACAGAGTCTACAATAAAAATAAAATCCCCACTCCAGCCCGCCCACCTCCCCCCAAGATTGCTTTGCTTTGTATTTTATAAAACAGACAACATTAGAAGAATGCCAGAGACATTCTACACCACAATTTAAAAATTCGTTAACTGAGGCCTTGGTCCCAGCAGTGCATTTGCATTCAGAAACCTTGCTTCCTTTGCCTCGCTAGTTTGGTTGGCCACATAGGTTACAAATGCATACAAGAGATCTAGTTGGAAATCTAATCCAGCAAAAGGAGAAAAAAAAAAAAAAAAAAAAAAGGGAGAATGAAAAATTGAACCGCTTGTTTATCAGAATTAGCTACTCTCTTACTCGAAGGCTTTCCAAGTAAAGTTATGCTCAGTTATGAAAATGATAAAAGCAAGCACGTAACAGTTGCAGTGAAATTATTATGATTTCTTTTTTTTTCTTTTTTTTTTTCTTTTTTTTTTAGATTTGCTGATTTTTGCATTGCCCGAATTGGAAAGAAAGGGTCATTTGGAAATGTGTTCAGACACAGTAACAATCTGCAATCAGGTAAATACTTCGCAACGTTGAAGCTATACAATATAACCCGGGCAGGGGTAGGACTCAGTCCACGAACAGTTTAGCACCATATTGATAGGTCATGTAGCAAAACACTTTCTTCAAGGTTTGCTTCGGGAGTTAAAAGCATGAAATAGTACAGTGCAAGGTAGTCTATACCCTTAGCTTCTATGGGGATAAGGTGGCGACGGCTGACGCTCCTGGCTGTCCCAGAGGTATGTGTTGGCAGGTCGCTGGCTCTATGTTCCTATCGTCGTCACCACGCCAGGGTTAATGTTGCCTGGGAAGGGTTGGTGGAGAAGGAGAAAATAGATAAGGTTGGGATGCTGGGGAAGGACCAGGGTGGCTGCCAGGACTTGCTGCAACCACTTGGGTCTTGCTAAGGCCTCGAGGAGGTGTGTGGGTGCTTACCGGGGACGCAAACTTTTTCACATTCTTTCTGCGTGTTAAATCGGTTCTCATTGCCCCCGCAGCCGCCGTACCAGAACCTGGCGCAGCTCTTGGTCTTGGGGTCGTAGTACCACTTCAGCACGAAGTCCCTGCAGGTCCCCTCTTCCTTCTGCAGCCGGCAGATGTCCGTGGCTGCAAGGAAAAGCAGGAGCACCAAGGGTAAGCAAGAAGTCCGGGACCCTGGGCTAAGCACGGGCTCTCTCAGTGCTTGTAAAGTGCCTGAGAGTAGGGCTGGCATGCGAGGTCAGAATGGACAACCACAGTCTAGGCTTTGCCTGGTCTCCTGAGACTAAACCCAGTCTTGAAGTTTGCAAAAAGGAGGGTTTTGGGTGTCCGTGCCCAGCGCTGAGCCCCAGGGGATGCATGCATCCACGCCGGGATGGAGCAAAGGCAGCGAGAAGGACATGTGCTGCAAATCCAGGGGATTTGCAGGAAATGAGTTGGCGGGCATCAACTGGGTTGCAAGGGAAAAAGTATTTTCACCATCATTTTCCAATTAAAAAGCGTGGCTTTCCCTGAAAAGAGGAATCTTCTGTGTGAAGATGCTCATGGACCTACCGCATGCTGCACCACGACATCCCACTTCTCTTACTGGAAAAGTGGTGGACAAAATAGCAAAGCACCTGGATGTGTTAAATTAAATAAAATAATTAAATTGCCAACTTAAAATAATAATAATAATAATAATAATAATAAAGTTGTGTTTTGTTTTGTTTTTCCCAAAAGGAAAAATAAACCAAGATATGCAGAGTACACCAGCAACAAGTGGTCAGGAAATCCAGGACCTGAAATTGCCTTGTGATAACCTCGTCTTAGGACTGCGCGCTTTGTATCACGCTACAGGCCGCATGCCAGGAATCAAGGTACAGAAACAGGGTCCCAAATATCCACAAATGGACATATGGAAGAGTATAGAGATATAGGGCGAATGTACCAAAGGGTGCGTTTGCAAGCAAGTTTCTTTGGGGTCTGATGAGAGGAAAGACTTGCTAAACCCTGATAAAATGTTCACAGGAAGAAGCGCACAGAAGATTATCCCCGAAATCCCAACTAGAAAGTAGGTCTGGCAGCAAATCCTAGGAAATAAGAAAGCGCTGGTGGCAGGTTTGCTTTGGAGGAAATTGTGGCCGGTGCTGGCGGCTGCCCAGCGCCCAGGAATGCTGCAGCCAGCAGGACAGGGGGAGGCAAAAATCGGTGTCACGGACCCTACACTGACCAGACCCCAGGGACGGGCAGGTCCTGCCTAAACCCTCCCTACCTGCTCATTTCGATTGCATTTTCCCTCTTTTTGCATGCTGTGAGTGTGGGGCCAAGTGGGTCAAACCCAAGCAGTGGCCAAGGTTTGGGGTAGGGTCTGGGAACATGACCTACTGGGAGAGGAGAAGTGTTGAAAAGGTCCCTCCTGCCTGCTGATGGTTTTGTTTGTTCTGCTCTAAAAGCAGCTTGTTGAAGTCTTCATTTTTTAATTTCTGCTTTTCCTAGGAATTTGAAATCAATATTGACCTTCCGATTCAAGCTCTGCTATCATGCTCCGGCAGCCAAAAGCTTCCCCATCCCTTTGGCAGGCTCTTTTCCTTTGGGGTTCAATTTTTTAAGAAATCCTTCTCTCTTCTTTCCTGTCATTCCGGAATACCGAAAGCCAGCAGATGCAAACACAAGGACTACTGCTCCAAACCCAGTGCACCCCCTCACGAAGCCAACCAGCCAGAAAACACGCAGCTTCTGGAGTGGTAAGACATTTTTTTTTCCACAGCACAGGATCTGGGCAGCCCAGTGTTTGGACCCCGCTGTCCCTTTTGAGACTGGCAGTGGCTCTCGGGATCAGCCGAGGCACTGAGAAATTCAACAAACACTTTGGAGGACAGATCTGATTTGCTGGCTTCAGGAAAGCTAGCTGCACTATCATAGCTGAAAAAAATAATCCCTTGAATCATAACCTTCAGTTTGCCTGCCCTAATATTCACACCATGCAGGGTGGTGCCACACAAGTGGGGTTTTTAATTCATCCTGCAGAGAAAATGTGTCTGGGCTCCTCAGCTGCACTTAGATTTAATTTTGTCATGGTAAAAAAAAATATAAAAAGTCTATAAATCTCAACAATTAAAGGTTATCAGAGCACTTAAAAGGGTTCCCAGGGGGAGATGGATCTGGAGCACACCCAAAGAGCCCTGAGGTTTGGGAGGCCAAGGCATTTCTCAGCACTGCACCTGGCTCCAGTCCTTGCAATGGGCTGAACCGAGAGCCCAGCCCAATACCCAGCATTTTAAAAGCTGAACTGCAAGCTCCTGTGTCTCCTTTTCCACGGTGGATTCAAGCTGTGGTTTAGCAGAAACCAAAAAGAGAAGAGGGAGAAAGCAGTGAATGGAGTG